TTTACCTAGAAAAACCAAAACAGCCAAAAAATGCTGGGGTTGGTTCTGCAACGTCCTGTAACTAACTACATATGGTATCCATGTATGTTATAAAAAGAAGTGGCAATAGTACACAGTTGATGCACACCAAAGTTCACTATAAAAGTTCTTGACAATCCTGCCTTCGATCCTATGCAGTATTTACTATGTGTACAGGCTTTTGCAAATATTAATGAGATGATTGCTGATTCACTTTTTTCCCATACATTTCCACAACATATTCCTGTTGACTCTATTGAAGGCTTTTTCCTGGTCTATGAATGTCAACAAACATGTCTTATTGTGTTGTTTCTCTCTCTGATAGTTGTCTCAATGTATATCTGTGCAACTTTTGTTTTGTCAAAAGCCCATCTGTGCTTCTGAAAGTTGATACTCTATCAATGGTCTCAGCCTTTTTTCGATGATCTTAGCATACTTTTTCCCAGTGTGACTGAGAAGCGATATTCCTCTGTAATTAGTACATTCCCTCTTACTTCCTTTATTTTTCCACAGCGGGACAATGACAGCAGTCTGCCAATCTGATGGTGTTTCTTGATTTTCACATGCCACCTGAAATATTCTCTTTAACCATATTGCTCCAGCTTCTCCTGCTGCCTTGATGGCCTCAGCTGGTAGATCATCAATACCTGTTGCCTAGTTCCTCTGTCATTAGTTCCAAGTTATGTTTATGTTCTTCCTGCTTTTATCTGTCTTATTGCAGCTAAGAAATGACTCTACCTTGCTAAAATTTTGTTAGGTTCTAATAACTCTTTCAGTCCCAAGTATCGAGCCAAATGTTCACAGGTTCCTACCTAGAAGCTCAGTGAACGCAAGATGCGTCTCATGGCCTCATTTTGTACCCGGTCCAGTCTTTCTAGCTGGGTTCTGCTAACAGTGAGGCCCAGATATGATAATAAAAAGGTAGCCAGATATATGATAATAAAAGGTAGCTAGATATATGATTATGATAATAAAAGGTAGCCAGATATATGATAATAAAAGGTAGCCAGATATGCAACAGTAACTGATCTGTGACAAGAGTATCTAGCTTTGTAACGATATTCAGGTAGCCACCGTGACGGCTAACCTTGTGAACAAATGCCAGATGAAGTCAGATGTGTTGGCTGCAAGGAGCAAATATCTCAGGCACAGCACAAATGATGTCACACTGACGAACGTTTAAAAAAAAAAAAAAGTGATTCAGGTAGCTATATAATAAACAGTAGCCAAAGATGTATGATAACAAATAATGAACAATAATAAGAACTCCTTTATGCAAGGATTGTAAACTGGGGCACAATTTTATTTCTCACAAATTTTGAATTTCTTCACAAACAACTCACGAGTATGTTGCAATTATTTTTTTTTAAATGTCTTCATTTTTTTTTCTTATTTTTCTTACCATTCTTTCTTTGTTGTTCTCATTTTTGTTCTCTTCCTTAAAAAAACCCATCAAGTTCTAAATCAAGATTTTATATATACATATATCTTGATCTGTATGCCTCATACATGAGGGTATTACGACCACATGTATTTACCACTGTGTGCAGTAGCAAACTCTTGCTGCATGCACTGTGTTTAAGCATTAAAGCTCTGTGTAGAAAGTGAACTGTCTAATTGCCTCACAATTTGGTTTGGTACATATTGAAACCATCTATACAACATTTGTATATATAAAACTCAGTTTGATTTCTTAACTTGAGCAATTTGGGGGGGGGGGGGGGGGGGGGTGAGACATGAAATTCACATTCTTGAGGCAAATAATCTGCCTGTATTTCACCACATTTATGCTTTATATGATAGTGAGAAATGCTATAGAAAGATTCCCAGAATATCTTGGACAAAGAAGAGGAGAAATACTGAAATCTTGTAAGATTTGAACATCATGGAAGATTGGCTAATAAACAGCATCCTGTCTCAGAAGCTGAAATATTTTGATCATATCAAGCGCTGCGACAGAATGGGTAAAAAAAAACAATAACAGACGGCATGGTATCATGAAGGAAGGGCAGGGGCCGACCAACACGAAGATGGGCACAGGAGATAAGTGACTCCTTGAGTATGAAAGTGCATGAGGTGGGAGAACTGGCGAGAGACTGAATTTCTTTCAGGCAGACTTGATAAGAGCGGCGTTCTATAGGACCTGCTACATGATGATGATGATGCTAGAGTGAATCCACCCCGCTGATAACTAAGCGTCTAGTTCTTTAGTCAGACTTTCTGTCACTGCTGGTCAAAAGTGGTAGTTATGACAGCTCTAGCATATGCACAGATTTCATGTCAGTGATTTGTTTCAGATGTAACTGCAAGATAGATATGGTTGCTGGCATATTAATGCCTCAACAGCAGTTCCTTCCACAGCGGTTAAGAGCTTCAACGGCCCCACTTGCTTTCCTTTAAAAAAACCCACTAATTTTACATTACTGTTTTCCTAGAAAAACACTCATTTTACATTAATAAGTAAACTCCAGTCTTATACTCATTTCATCAAAATGACATCTTCAACCACTCATGACAACACTGGACCCAAGATGTCCATGCTGGCAGGGAAGTAAATAATCAATTTTCTACAGCTCCACAGTTAATTAACTTGTTGAAATATTACGTGTGAATCCCCGTGTGGGTGTTCTGGGGCTCCAGTGTTGGGAAAACAATAACAGACCCACTGCCTGCCCAAAAGCATGTCATAAGATTTGACTAATTGGGAGCTTTCTTCAAAGTTAGAGAGCATCTGCCTGAGAGGCAAGGAACCAACAGCTGCATAGAAATGAGTCAGATCTGTTAAACGTATGTGCATGTAACACTCAGGCCCTAGAACAAGAGGTGGACAAACATTCAGAACTTTCCATCAGAGTTTACAGCCGGTGAACGTGAAGAAAAGGAATACATGTGATCAACTTTCAAATATAAAAGTAAGGTCTCTGTACATGCCAGTGGCTCATCGGGATGTGAGGCTAGATTCATATTTTTATAGACCAATCTGCCCTTTGTGGGAGATGCGGTCAACATCAGGCCAGCCGCCTTTACTTCTCACGACTTTACTTGGTACGCATTTGAGGCATGGTTGACCTCGACGCCAAAGTCATTATGAAAATTACTTGAACCCACAACCTTAGGATCCGCAAGCATGAGTCTGGCTGCTATACTATAGCAGCTCCTGCATTCAAATATAACAGACAAAAAAAACAAAATGCTAGGCATGTGCACCTCATATATTTTACTAAGAAGGTTACATTGAAATAAATAAAAAGATGTAAATATTTGTAACAGTACAGCCAATCCGTTCATATCACAATAAATCCAAACATTCACAAGCAAGTCCTTTTTCGTGTGTAAACAAAACAAAAAAGATACAGTTCAGTTACATATTTAAGGCACACACAAGAGAATGGTTTCTGCGACTTGAAAATACTTATTGGTATCGCTCTTGTATCATTCATCTGCAGATTTAACACTAGCTACTAAATGTAAGCACATTATTTATTGTAGAAGTCTTTTGGGATAGTGTAGAAGACAGTGCAATAACATAAACCCATAAAAATGGCTAGTTTGTAAATTTTATATATCAGTTTTATCATATATTTTAGCCTCCTGCAATAGATGTTTTGCAGGGAAAATTATCACTTTAAAAACAAAAAACCATCAGAGCGCGATTTTCAAAGAGGCATTGTGAATGTAGCCACAGGTGCCAGATTTCTTTAGTATGCTTAGTTCAAATGTGGAAAAATCAGAGAAAGCATTGTGCAATGGCTAGGATTAACAGGCAAGAGATAATAACAGGCAAGAGACAATTTCACTTAACTTGGGACTAAAATAGTTACATTTCACAAGTAGCTTGGTCAGTTTTGGAAAACAAAGTATGTGTTGTGTATACTATGATCAGTAGTTAATCGAAAACCCGGATAAAGAGGAAGATGATTGCCAGTTATGTCAGGTCTAACAACATAATAATCGTAATTGTTTTCACATTTCCTATTTTACCACTTCGGGTGACGAGGAAAGTATAAGGTTCTGCTTCCCGCTCTTCTGGTCACCTCAGAAGGCGAGAGAAAGACCAAGGCAGAGATAGATAAATCGTCTAGCAGAAACCTGCAAAAAGATGAATAAACCCATCACCCAAGCCACCCGAGAAGTGCAACAGAAATACACAAAACCACGACACTGGGCTACAACCTGGTTTCAATGAGATGACAAAAGAAAAAGAAGAGAGATGTAAAATCGGTGCATTCATTGGGCTTGTAGGTAGAAACTTACGAACGTAGGATGCGTTCGTTGGGACTGAAAGAATTGACACTATTATATCTGCTTTTACACATTATATGCAATTTAGTGATGCTTTAAATATTTTTGATAATTGGATAATTCAGTCATGTAGTCTATTATTGCTGCCCACCTGTCCAGAGATACAGATAAGATATCTACTTATGGTCTTTGCTTCTCTGCATGATTCCAATATATATCTGTTTAATTTATTTAACAAGTTTCTTTTTTTCACGCTAATGCAGACATGTTTTGTCTTCTGATAAAATTGCTCTGGCAAACGTGTTCATCTCTGAATGTGTTTTTTTTTTTTTTTTTTTTTAAAGATTTACAAAAATTACAAAAAATTAAAGAAGTCATATGTAAATAAATAGTTCTCTTAAAGTTACTAATGTGTAAAAGACAATTTCAGGGTAAAGTTCCTTGATACAGCGTTTCATGTGTAACTTAGTTCTCAGGTAATTGCTTTTTGTACATAAAAAAAAAAAGAAACTGCTAATGTTATTGAGTTTAACCATTAGTTCTGAGCCAACATTACTGACACACAAATAATTTATATAATAGGTGGTGTTACATAAATAATTTATTTGTTTAGTAACGGTGCCCTGTATAGGGCCTACCTATTAGTTCTCAGATAATGTTACTGATATACATAAACATGAGTTCTATGGTAAAGCTGTCCATGTGTATCTACTGTGCACTTGGTGACTGGCTGAGTTTCTTTATAAGGCTCCTAGGTTCGTCTGCGATCGTGATCCTGTGGTTTTGAAAGAAGAAAACACTGTGCTGAAACTGCATATTTTAATTTAAAGGTAAATTACTATATCGTTTTGATAACTTGGTCTTTTGTTGGTATTTCCACCATCTATGTCACTCCCTATTTGTATATTGTCTCTCTCTCGCTCTCTCTCTCTCTCTCTCTCTCTCTCTCTCTCTCGCTCACATACACACATAAACACTAACACACATACATTGAAACACCTTTGGCCTCTCTCATCAATGCTCATTTTAGGGTTTATATTGTTTGTATCGCTTACTCAGTTCCTTTATTTCCCATTTTTGTGCCTGCTTGGTTAATTCTCTGCAGGTTTCTTCTTAGGATGTGTCCCAGCCCCTTCTTCTCTGTCTTATAACTTTTGTTTGCTTCTTCTTATAACATGACCACAGAATGTACATTGTCTCTTTCTGATGTGGGCACTTCACTTCCCCATACACATACACACACACATATTTGAAGGCACTCGCTCAAAGGACATGTTTCAAAGAGCATGTTGACCATGTTATAACAAAAGCAAGCAAAGGCCTGTCAGCAATGAGGATCCTGGCCACCGCTAATATTGAGCAGAGACTGGTTCTGCTTCCGTTCCAGGGACTTATACTTTCTCACATCGAATATGCTCTAGCCATTCTCACTGTCAGCCATACTTAAACTGAAAGACTTGAGAAGGTGCAAAGTGAAGCAATGGGCATTATTCTAGGGTGCACTGGAGACACCTCTTATGTAGCACCTTTTTGACTTCCCTACCATAAACTACAGGATCAAGATCTGGATGGCTCGTGCATACCTCAAGATAAGCTCAGATCTGAAATACCCTTTGCACCACAAGCTCTTCAAGAAAAAGGGAAATAGAGTTAAAAGGGGTAAATCATGGCTGGGTAGGGCAGAGGATGACATCCTGCAGGTTTGCAGCCTTACAGACATCCATCCAGGTGAGGAATGGATACCAGCGCCTAAAGCGCCCAATCTCATATTCACCTGCATTTTGATGCTTGATAGGAGTTGTCGGGAGCAGAATCCCGTTGCTGTCAATGCCGAAGTCTGCCCGTTTATCAGTGACAAGTCAGAGGAGACAGATGTGCTGATCTTTACAGATGGGTCAGTTATAGGAGGATATAAGAGTACATGGGCATTTACAGCTCGCTCTTCAGGCAGTTCAAGAAGCCAGCGGTGCCAAAACTCTCTTGTGTGTACAGTTACCTACATATTTGTCCCAAAGTATGCAGGTGTTGATAATGCAAGAGCTGATAGGCTGGCAGGTACCGCATTAATTGAAGACGGCCGGCCCATGAATCACGCAGACATTGTCATTGACCTTAGAGAGATAGGATGTTTCGAGGATTTTGGAAGCAACATGTCCACATCACTGCTAAGAATTCAAGAACTGGGAGAAAAGATCGGCACAGCCAAGCATGAGAAGCAGTTCTGTCAACCAGCATAGTACTGGCAATATTAACCGAGCGACGCTGATAAATTTGCAGAGGGGAAAATCTGAGCACCTATAGATGTGTCCGGGGTGCTGTGAAGATAATCCAACTCATAACTCACACACGCATATGCACACACACACACACCACACACATCACTCTGGGTACTTTTTCCTCATTCCAGATAATAGTGTCATATTGTGCAATAAGGAATCACAACCCATGACAATTGTGAATGTGACTTGCAAGACGTGCTCCCGCCATCCCCCCCCCCCCCACACACACACACACACACACACATAAGTCCAGCATAAGACTTAAAAACTGTTGCTTTCAGTACACAGACCCTAGGAAAGACAGTGCTGAAGTTGCGACCCTGTCCGGATTCCACTGGGCACTATTTTGGTGAATAAAGAATAGGTCCACTGTCTTACTAACAAGCATGTAGAAGGCAACTAATTAGGGGTGTTTCCTTCAAAGTCAAAATGCATCTACCTAAGAGGCAAGGAACCAACAATCTGCATACAAATAAGACAGACATGTAAAACCGATGTGCAAGCAAAACTCTGGATCAAGACCAAAGTCCAGAAGCGGACAAACAACCAGAACTTTCCCTTATAGTTTACAGCTGGTGAACACTAAGAAAGATGAAAAAGAAGACAACTGCCAGGGACTGAAAGAGTAAATATTTTTCTGTGTATTAGTTCCAAGAGTAAAAACTTACATCCCTGCAGTTCCCCCCCCCCCCCCCCCCCTGTTAAATTCTCTTTTACTTCTGCTTTTTATTCTCCAATTAAAACATAGGTCCACCCATAACTCAGTAATGCTTTGTAGAGATTTGTTTATGGCTGACTGGACTTTGCAGCTACAGTTTCTTAAGGGATGGAGTATTCAGCATGACATTGGCCTATTATCCCACAAGCCTCCAGTAGTTTATGGCATGGAGTTAAATCCCTTTTAATGACAACCTGAATAACATCACAGCTGGTTACGCAGCAGACAGGCTGGCTCTGCACAACTTGATAACAACATAAGGCAGATGTGGTTAGTGCCTTGTGGGACAGAGTGTACAGTTTGGAGGAGCAGATGGATCACCACAGTCTGCTGAGACTGATGCAGCGGGGAGTGACACGGGGTTCTGGCCGATGCTCGGGGCTCAAAGGAAAGGCAAGATGGATGTTTAATCAGAATGCTACTGGCTCCATTAGTATTGAAACTCTGCACTGGCTGCTGAAGATGTGAATGGAGCGCTTAAGGGACTGCCCCGGGTGCTTTGATGTCGGTTCTTGAATCAACTCGGCTCAACTAGTTACATCTCCTGACCCAGTTACCAACTTAGAAACTGCTCTTTATGTAAGTTCTAAGTCCTTGCGGGGTTCAAAGCTCCTATCAAGCATGTATAAAAAGAAGGGGGCTAATTAGAGTTCTGATGTAATCAGATGTGCTGGGCCAAAAAAGTGCAGCTAGCACAGCCTAGCTTTGAAACACAACACAGAATGCCAACTGCCTTTCTAAGGGCAAACACAAAAGAAGAGCTTACTTGGAAGAGTGCCTTTGTGTGATCGTGGGCGTCTGGAAGCACCATATGCCACCTCAGACTGGGAGCGCTTCTGCGGGTATCGTCCCCTGAGGTCGTCAGTGACCCGCAGAACTCGGGTACTTCCCCCATACATGGACTCCGGGTGTTTCATGTAGTTAGCTGGGACGCTGTACACGCTTCCAGGGTGTTTCAAGTGTGTGGCCACTGTTGGAAACAGATAACAGTGTGTCATAAATCATTCACTGATATCCTTCCATCTGTCTATCTCTATTACCTCTCATTTGTCTTTCGCCTCTATCTCATCTGTTTTGTCAGTCTCTCTCTCTCTCTCTATCTTCTTGTCACCCTCTCATTTCTCTAATATTTCTTGTCCTCTCTCATCCCCCTCTCCTGCTCTATCTCATCTCTCCCCCTCCCAACTCCTTCTCTGTCTGTATATAAATCAACTCTCACCCATTTTTCACACACACAAATAAAAACTTGTTATGTGTAACTGGTACATAAAAACACTGAAACGTCAGATGATAAATATTGAGAAAGTAAATATGCTAAATTTGTGTTTTACTTTCAAATTATCTTAAAAAGTGATGTAGAGTGATTCCCCCCCCCCCCCTCTCTCTCTCTCTCTCTCTCTCTCTCTCTCTCTTCCCCTGTTTTTTTTTTTTTTTTTTTTTGACTATGTATTTAATGCCCTTTTTTGCATTTGAGATGACAAGAGGCAAGTATACATGTCTCCTTGTATATGTACTGCATGCAGCTTCTGGAATGCCTCTCTACACACTGTTTCCACATTTGCACCTCTAGAACCCATGAACTCTAGGATCTCCTGCATTTTAGTTTAGGTCCCTGATGATCATCTGTTGATGATAAGAATATATTGTAGAAGATTTGCTTAGATTCCACAAATCCAGCACAGACCCTGACTGCACCAGATGTAAGGTCCGGTAAATGTGTGTAGCCTGGTAAATGTGTGTAGCCCGGCAAATGTGTGTAGCCTGGTAAAAATGTAGATAAGACTGATGTTTACTTCTAGGTCTGAATGCATCTGCCTCAGAGTCATGGAACCAACAATCTGCACACAAATAAGCAACATGCGTATGCAAAACTCACTCCTGGTACAAAGTCACAGTCCAGAAGTGGACAAACATCCAGGACTTTTCATCTGAATTTACAGTCTGTGACAACTAAGAATGAACAAACTATTTCCAAAGGATTACAAATTGGGCATGTAGGCCTGTGTTACATTTGGCCCTTTCAAACATTCATCTTTCACATGGCAATTGCATTATATGAATGAAGCATATTATGTTCATATATCAAAATTCATAGAATGAATGTAAAATAACAAAAACAGACAGACAGATGGACCGAAGGATGGATGTATGGACAGACAGACAGACGGATAGAATGAAGGAACGAACAAACTTTATTTTCAAAGGATTACAAACTGGGCTCATAAGAAGAAGGTGATTATAAACACCCTACATTCGGTGTAGGAAACACAGAGATGTGTTTCAAAAGCCTGTCACCAGAAAAGAGCATGTGCTCTAACATTGTCAACTGTATGCTGCCAACAGAGACACAGTCTAGCCTGTTCCAATTTCAATGGAGTGTATGGTACACAGGGAGATATGGATTGCATTATAGTTTTCATAAAGGCTACTAGCTTCCTGGCATACATTTTTCTAACAGAAGGATCAAAGATGAAGAAGAACGTTTAACAGAGTATCTCTTGTCACACTTACTGGGATCTCCATTGATGATCACCGGTTCAGAGTAGATGCCCTGGTTGTTGAGAACAATCACAGAGCCAGACCCTTTGCTTTTGTAGCTGGGAGGCGCCAAAATTACAGATCCTCCATAGATGGTCTCTCTGTCATCTTCAAGGTAGATTCCTTCTATACCCATGTTTACAAGGTGACGAACCTATCATATTCAACAGACACAAAGAAACAAACAAATCTCATTAACTCTTTCATTATCAAGTTCAATTCAGCTGTGGAACATTTGCCAGTAGACTACTTTGCTTTTATTTTATTAATAATATTGGCATTGTCCATTCGGCCAGCAATAGTAATCTATACTAATGGTACCGATCGTAGTCTTGTTGTATGTCCGTCTTGTATTTCTTCTGGGCGTAGACAGCCGGCCAGGCAGTCTGGTCACACCCAGGTGCTTCATTCTCTCTAGGCAATAATAATATAGTTTCTTTTCTGACTGTTACTTGTTCCCATAGGGCTTTGACCACATCTGCCTTTGTCATGTATCAATTCATCACCCAGCTGTGCAGATCCAGCCAATCTGACTGCCTGTTCATTCCCCATCACGCTGGCATAGCCTAGAGAAAAGATTCAGAGTATGTTCCCTGCCCATGATTTTCTAAGTGAAGATTACCACTCTGCTTGAAGCAACCCTGTCTTCAGCCTTCTCAGCATGCTTTCACAGTCTGCTACAACCACATGTGGATGCATCTTGTTCTCTAGTCACTGGCATACTGCGGTGACTGCTTCCATTCTCATGCTAGATGTTGTGTTTCATTTGCTAGGCTGTCCTGCACTAAAAATCTTCCACTGGCTTTCGCTACACACCCCCAGGTACTTCTCTTCTCTCTCAACATAGTACCATTTGAACAAAGAAGACACAAACAATAGATTGCACAATTTATTGCCTGGCATATTTAGCTGTATCTCGTCAGGTGCATACTACAGTTACAATTACATAAATGAAGCAAATAACTTTATAACTGAAGTACAATTTCAACAGCGATCAAACATGACTGCCTGATTTACCGGGGCAGCTGTAAAGACAGAACCATCTCTTTCTGTATACAGAGTTTTAGACGCAGGTGACGAATCGCGGATGCTTCGAGAAATCTTAGCGTTCTGCCATTGGTTGACCTATGAAGGATTTTAAATGTGTTATTTTTAGTGTCCACGTCACCACGTGTCCAGATTTGAGAAGATAACGTATTCTCATTTTGAATATTATTTTTTTTTTCTCAAAGCATCCACGATTCGTCACCTGCGCCCGGTACTCTGTATTCAGAAAGAGATGGTTCTGTCTTTACCGCTGCCCTGGTAAAAACAGGCAGTCATGTTTGATCATTGTTGAATTTGTACTTCAGTTATAAAGGATTCACTTATTTGCTTCATCAGCTGATGGACTCCCACCTCCGTAGTACCTGCTGGCCACTCTCTGCACTCCCGGCCTCACATGATCATACACAGCTCAGACTTTTCCTCTGGTACTCTGACCCACTCCGCTCCTTGCCCAATGTTCTCCAGCATGCATGCTTGTCTTATTGTGTTTTCTGCTTTAGCCATCCATGATATTCTTTTTTTCCACTTCTGACCCTTAACTGCATCCAAGGCTTCATACAGAGGGTGCTCTTTGTCTGCAGCTACTCTGAGTTATGATTTTGGGGTGTCTCTTGTATATCCCAGGACCACCCACATAGCTTCATTCTGTATGCGCTCCAGTTTCTCTAGCTGACTCTTCGAGACAGTGAGTAACCCCAATCCATAATCAATCACTGAGATGATCAAGTGCTAGTAAAGTGTAAACAGCATTTTCTGCTTCATGTCCATCGCGGCTATAATCTTTAGTGCATTTAGACCTTTTTGGGCCTGTGTCACAAACCCCTTCAATGTGATCCTTGAAAGACAAACTTCTGTCAAAGGTGATAATAAACTCCGGCGGAAAGGCCACTTCTGGATCTGAGTCTTCTTCCAGAACATCAGTTATGAATGCACGTGTTTTACAGATCTGGCTTATTTATAAGCAAAACTCAAGTTCTGAAACAAGACCAAAGTCCACAAGTGGACAAACAACCAGAACTGTCCAAGAGTTTACAGCTGGTGAATGCTAAAAAGAAGAAGTTCTTGGTTAAGTTAATTTATGAAGATTCAACATTACAGGACTCCAGGTTAGACCCACAGATGCTCATTCTCTCTCGGCAAATGACATAAGGTGTACTGGAAATTTCCCTAAACATAATTTATGAAGTTGCCTCATTATTGGAAAAAAAAAAAAAAACACTGGCACTAATGGGATTAGATGAGTCGAGTGACATGCATTTATTCTCACCTTTGGCAAGAACATGGCAAACAGGATGAGACTTGCAGTGATCAGGAGCCCAAAAGCTATGCAGGCGTCCCCAAATTCATGTGCATAAGCATGATCTTTGTTGAGTCCTCCAACTAGACCCCACGCCAGCCAAATAGGAATTCTGTTGAACACAAATTCATTGACTTGTTATCACAATAGGTGCCATTGTTTGTGATGTCGCAATATCAACAAGGTTAAAGGCAACCAAAATATGAGATTTACCTTCCTTTTAAGAAAAATAAAAAAAATTTCAGAGGCGTTCTTGATGACATAAAGTTAAACAAAAATAAATTAAATCTGTCTACTTAATTAATTCAAAAAAAGATGCAAACGGTTGGTTCTATACATATCTGTTAGCAAAGAAAGGTAATACACAACTTAAAGGGTTGATGTGAGTGAAACAACGGAAAATGTAACGGTACGGACATGTAATCAGATCTAACGGCCTCTCAAAAACAATACTGGTCGTCTCTGGGTAGTGAGATCGGACGTCCGTGTGCATTGTTGCACACGTGAAAAATCCCTTGGCAGTTGGGAATCAAAAAGAGTAGCCTAACTGCGCTGCCCTGGCAAAATTTGGAGTTAAAAATCTACCCAAAGTATTTCAGGATCCTCCCTAGTGCTGCAGAGCCTGTACACTATGCTCAGCTTCTTGGGACTCAGACTTGAGTTAGAAGAAGAACGGAGCATTTATATGTTACACCTGTGTGCCATGATGTTGATCCGTTGTTCAAAAACCTTAAACTTCAATACTACAGAGCTCATTAGAGGAGAAGAGGCAGACCACGAAAGACCTGGACACAAGAACTTGACCAGCTGGAGAGGAGTTAGGCATGCAACCACAAAATCTATTGCTTCCGATCGTCAAATGTGGAAAATTTGACTCCCATTTTTTCAGGTTAGTTACGTTTGTTCCTAAGCTTTAAAAAAACTTGCTTGCATAAATTATGCAAATCAGAAAAGTTAATTTGAATAAATGTTGAGATTTCAGTTTGATTCATAAATACTCTGTTAGTTCATTCAATTTACTACACGAATATGTTATTGTTTTATATATGTTAATTACAGGCCTTATTTGTTATAATTTTTGTGTACAAACTATGAGAATCCCCTCCACAAGGCTTTGTCTTTTTGGCACCAAAACTCCAAAAAGGCTCCGTCTTCAGAGGGTTAACAGACAATCATGATAATGAAGTGAAACACTTAGTGACCCTTTCACATGGGATGCCTAAGACCATCGGAAAACACATATTCACTGAAATTATGAAGAAGCAATGAAAATAATTGTATGTTGGTGCGGTCACCACAACATGAGGAGCTGTATTAAAGGGTTGTGGCGTTAGGAACCACTGCCCTAGATACACATGGTTACCATCACAATTCCCAGAAAAGGCGAGGGGATGTGCGTGAGTGGGCATGCATAGTTTTTAAAAAGAATGATAAATCAGCATGAATAAAATGCCCATATTCTTAAAAGGCTGCAGAATGTTCCTATGTCTGATGCAGAATGTTCCTATGTCTGATGCAGAATGTTCCTATGTCTGATGCAGAATGTTCCTATGTCTGATGCAGAATGTTCCTATGTCTGATGCAGAATGTTCCTATGTCTGATGCAGAATGTTCCTATGTCTGATGCAGAATGTCTGATGCAGAATGTTCCTATGTCTGATGCAGAATGTTCCTATGTCTGATGCAGAATGTTCCTATGTCTGATGCAGAATGTTCCTATGTCTGATGCAGAATGTTCCTATGTCTGATGCAGAATGTTCCCATGTCTGATGCAGAATGTTCCCATGTCTGATGCAGAATGTTCCCATGTCTGATGCAGAATGTTCCTATGTCTGATGCAGAATGTTCCTATGTCTGATGCAGAATGTTCCTATGTCTGGTGCAGAATGTTCCTATGTCTGATGTAGAATGTTCCTATGTCTGATGCAGAATGCTCCTATGTCTGATGTAGAATGCTCCTATGTCTGATGTAGAATGTCTGATGCAGAACGTTCCTATGTCTGATGCAGAATGTTCCTATGTCTGATGCAGAATGTTCCTATGTCTGATGCAGAATGTTCCTATGTCTGATGTAGAATGTTCCTATGTCTGATGCAGAATGCTCCTATGTCTGATGTAGAATGCTCCTATGTCTGATGTAGAATGTCTGATGTAGAATGTTCCTATGTCTAATGCAGAATGTTCCTATATCTGATGCAGAATGTTCCTATGTCTAATGCAGAATGTTCCTATGTCTGATGCAAAATGTCTGATGCAGAATGTTCCTATGTCTGATGCAGAATGTTCCTATGTCTGATGCAGAATGTTCCTATGTCTAATGCAGAATATTCCTATGTCTGATGCAAAATGTCTGATGCAGAATGTTCCTATGTCTGATGTAGAATGTTCCTATGTCTGATGCAGAATGTTCCTATGTCTGATGTAGAATGTTCCTATATCTGATGTAGAATGTTCCTATGTCTATGTCTGATGTAGAATGTTCCTATGTCTGATGCAGAATGTTCCTATGTCTGATGCAGAATGTTCCTATGTCTGATGTAGAATGTTCCTATGTCTATGTCTGATGTAGAATGTTCCTATGTCTGATGCAGAATGTTCCTATGTCTGATGTAGAATGTTCCTATGTCTATGTCTGATGCGGAATGTTCCTATGTCTGATGCAGAATGTTCCTATGTCTGATGCAGAATATTCCTATGTCTGATGCAGAATGTTTCTATGTCTGATGCAGAATGTTCCTATGTCTGATGTAGAATGTTCCTATGTCTGATGCAGAATGTTCCTATGTCTGATGCAGAATATTCCTATGTCTGATGTAGAATGTTCCTATGTCTATGTCTGATGTAGAATGTTCCTATGTCTGATGCAAAATGTTCCTATGTCTGTGTCTGATGTAGAATGTTCCTATGTCTGATGCAGAATGTTCCTATGTCTGATGCAGAATGTTCCTATGTCTATGTCTGATGTAGAATGTTCCTATGTCTTATGTAGAATGTTCCTATGTCTGATGTAGAATGTTCCTATGTCTATGTCTGATGTAGAATGTTCCTATGTCTGATGCAAAATGTTCCTATGTCTATGTCTGATGTAGAATGTTCCTATGTCTGATGCAGAATGTTCCTATGTCTGATGTAGAATGTTCGTATGTCTATGTCTGATGTAGAATGTTCCTATGTCTTATGCAGAATGTTCCTATGTCTGATGCAAAATGTCTGATGCAGAATGTTCCTATGTCTGATGCAGAATGTTCCTATGTCTGATGCAGAATGTTCCTATGTCTGATGCAGAATGTTCCTATGTCTGATACAGAATGTTCCTATGTCTGATGCAGAATGTTCCTATGTCTGATGCAGAATGTTCCCATGTCTGATACAGAATGTTCCTATGTCTGATGCAGAATGTTCCTGCTTGATGCAGAATGTCCCCATGTCTGATGCAGAATGTTCCTATGTCTGATGCAGAATATATCTTTTAATATTTTGCGGCGTCCATGTGAAGAGATTGCGACTCCCCGCGGTGCACAGTTTGGGAATCACTGGTTTAGACCACAGCTTTTCAACTAAGTTTACTCAGGAGGCAAAACTGTGTAAAGGGGATTGTTACTGGCCACAGCCCCAGCACAAACATAAGCCTAATACATTACAACTGGCAATGATCCACTTCAAGGCCTCCGCAGGCCAAATCTGGTCTGTGGGCAGCTAAACTGAATTGTCCTGGTTAGACCGCGAACACTGAAAGATCTTAAAGAGTTCAAATATGGATACTGGAAAATCTGGAGGAATTTGGCCATGGACATTTAAAGGTCTAAAAACAAGGTCCCAAACAATCTTAAATGTGGCATTAGTTACTGACTAACTGTATCAAACAACACACTGTTAACATATGATATACTTTTGGTCTGAATATACTTAAGAAACCTGGCACAGCATAAGCATGTTGGAAAGTAATATATTCATACTGTTGTCTCCATACTAGTTAACATTCCTCTTGGACAACTGCAGTAAAATCTTCTGGGACTAAATGAGTTAAAAGCTCATTTACCTAAAGAAGGAAGGAGCAAAAGAGATGTAACTATACTTCTGAAAGGAAAAAACAAACAATAATTAAACAAAAAAACAAAAAACTATGTTCATACGTGAATCCTGCAGCAATCCCAATAAAGATGCTCTCTCGATGGTTGGTGATGATTCCGTGAGACTTGAGAGCCAACACTGTGGTGATGAGGATCATGATCATGATGTAGATGAGAGACATAAGATGGTTCTCAAACTCTGTGCGCACAAAGGCACTCATGACACTCATACTGGACCCAGCCTCCCAGGTGTAATGGTTGCAGATCCAGACTTTAGCCCCACTGTTGGATGTAACCTTGACGGCCTCCGGAGGGACAGTTATCAGCCACTGGATGTCAATGACAACCTGGATAATGAAGACAAATATTACCAAGTTCAAAATTTATCAATTACAACAAATTGATAACAATGCAGACAATTAGGGGAATGTTAACAGCCACAAGATATCAATGGCAAAACAGCCAGTCTATATAATGAATGCACATGTCATCAGCCACAACATACCAATGAAAAAACAAGATAATTAAGGCTAATGTTAACAGCCACAAGATACCAATGACAATCTAGATAATATAATGAAGACAAAAGTTAACAGTTAACAGCCAGCTGAGACCAATGACAGTCTTGAAAATACAGACAAATTTTAACAGTTATCAACCAATAGATACCAATGTTAATTTATATGATGAAGATATGTTAACTACCAGCTGAGACCAATGACAGTCTTGAAAATACAGACAAATTTTAACAGTTATCAACCAATAGATACCAATGTTAATCTATATGATGGAGATATGTTAACTACCAGCTGAGACCAATGACAGTCTTGAAAATACAGACAAATTTTAACAGTTATCAACCAATAGATACCAATGTTAATCTATATGATGGAGATATGTTAACTACCAGCTGAGACCAATGACAGTCTTGAAAATACAGACAAATTTTAACAGTTATCAACCAATAGATACCAATGTTAATCTATATGATGGAGATATGTTAACTACCAGCTGAGACCAATGACAGTCTTGAAAATACAGACAAATTTTAACAGTTATCAACCAATAGATACCAATGTTAATCTATATGATGAAGATATGTTAACTACCAGCTGAGACCAATGACAGTCTTGAAAATACAGACAAACTTTAACAGTTATCAACCAATAGATACCAATGTTAATCTATATGATGAAGATATGTTAACTACCAGCCACTTGATGGGAATGAAAATAAAGACTCAATGGGTGATGTGGTCAAAATATAGTCATATTTACTTTTCTATAGATGCTATAGGACTCATTTTCAGCTTCACTGACCTGGGAGCCTAGGACAATTTGTGTGTGGTTAACCAACCTTCATGAGAAGATCAACAGTCAGCCCCGGTCTAGTAAGTTAACACACAAGCCGCTGCACGACTATGGCTCTGACCGGAAATAATCATGTAGAAACTACAATTTCCCCCAAAAGACAATTACACACAGAAACAAGAAATACACATAGTGAAGGGATGGAGTTGTGACATCAATATCTACAAGGTTGTTAAAAAATGAGAAGTATCTGGTAGGAAGAAAAGATCACGTCATAACTGTACACCAACAGCAAAGATAAATTAAAGGAACTGGTATGTGCCTTTCAGGTAGCTGGGATCAAGTGTTCCCTCAATGCTCAAAATTTAAGAAAGGAAGGAAGGGAGGAAAGAATGTGTCATAACTACAGGCCAACAGCAAAGATAAACATAAGGAACTTGCATGTGCTTTTCAGGTAGTTGGGATGAGGTGGTGCCTCAATATCTCCAAAGGTGTAATAGAAAGAGGGAAAATGTGTCATACCTGTACACCAATAGCAAAGATGAACATAAGGAACTTATTTTCAGGTAGTTGGAATGAGGTAGTCCCTCAATATTTCAAAAGGTATAAACAGAAAAAGGAAAGAATGTGTCATACCTGTACACCAACAGCAAAGATGAACATAAGGAACTGGTATGTGCCTTTCAGGTAGTTGGGTGTCTCCACATCACCTGGCAAAAGTACATCACTGGGCTTGGAGGTCAGGATGACCATTAGCTTGACCAGCAGAACAGCAAAACAGAAGGCATATGAGACTCCAACTCCAAATCGGGTGATACCACACGTAGCCTGGGGTAAGTAAGAAGAGTCTCTTTAACAGACATTCATGGTCACTAGTATCTTTATTAAACTAACATTCAGTTATTACAAATATAATATTTTTATCCTTCATTTCTTCACGTTGACTGACTGTAAACTTAGCAGAAAGTTCTGGTATTTGACCTCTTCTGGACTTTAGTTTTGTTCCAGGACTTGAGTTTTGCATGCATACGTATTTTACAGATCTGACTTATTTGTGTGTTGGTTTCTCTTTCAGCACTCAACCTGAAGGAAACACCCCTAATTAGTTAACTTTTACAACAAGCATGTTGGGGGGGGGGGGGGGGGGGAGTGGCTCTATTCTCCCCCCCCCCCCCCCCCCCCCCAGAATTGGGCCCCGGACCCCATAGAGGAATACAAATATAATGAATAGATAACTTAATTTAAATAAGAAGTTAGAAGAGCATATCTATTTAACAAACCTCTATTCCTGCTATTTACTGACTAAACTAGAGAAGCAGACAGAAAAGCATCAGTATTGAAAGGGTATTTGTATTTATTACAAATAAAAGACTGTCTAGTTGAAGTAAGCATAATCAAGAACAAATTTATAGAACAGACGTTTCTGGCTAATACAAAAAAATAAGAGATGATTAAAATCAAGTGTATCCCAGGTTCTTCGTTGAAAGGGTAAAGCGGCTGAAAAGAGAAGAATCATGGCTGACTGGGCAGAGGGTGACAGATCTGCAGTCTTTCTAACAGCTCCAAACAGAGCATCCAGAAAATGAATGAACACTCAAAACAAAAGGCAAACAGCTTGCTGATTTCAATGGTTACTGAATCCGATCAACATCTGCAAAAGGAATAAACTAATCAATCAATCAAGACATCACTGCATCTGGAACATTCTTGCATGCTCTGTGCCCTTCCCCAGTAGCCAACAAAGTGTCCCCACACTGACGGTGCCACTAGAAACCCAATTAAAGGTCTACTTGTTCTTTCCCCCAGAGTTTTCCCTCTGCCTAACTCTTTGCTGAATCAATATTTCAAGATAGGGATATTCTGATGCACTGCACTGTCCACTGGATCTCAGAAAGCCTTCACCACGTCTACTTTATCATAAAGTAGCTCACCACTAGGAGGAGTTGGCAGCAGCAAATCGATCAGCCTGCTTATCCCCTTACGCACCAGAATATCCTGGACAAAAAGAATTCTTCATCGTTTGCCTGTTGAGTTGAGTCAAAATCTGACATCACAGCACTCGAGGCATTCCCATATGCACTCCATCCCCATCTTCAGCAGCCAGCACAGATTACCAATACTAATGGTGCGGATCGTAGTCTGGTTACATGTCTGTCTTGCTTTTCCTCTGAGTGTAGTGAGCCTGCTGGATCCTTTGGTCACACCCAGCTGGATTATTCTCTCCAGTCCATAATAATCCATTCTCTTCTGACCTCATTATTTGTTCCCGCCTTGAAAATATGTACCTTGCTATGTATCAGTTCATCTTCCAGTGGTGCAGATTGAGCCAATCTGTCTGCCTGTTCATTCCCCACGAGGCTGGCATCGCCTGCCTGGAGAAAAGATCCTAAGTATGCTCACTACCTATGACCTTCCAAGTGAAACTTGCCACTGCTCGAAGCAACCATGTCTTCACCTTCGCCTGAGTGATGTAATCTGCATTGTACCTGTTTACAGCATTGCTGCGACGTTTGCGCCTTTCGGCCGAAAGCATCTGACATCAACCAGCATTTATTCCCCGGGTTAACCTTCCCAGCAAACCAAACTAAGCAATAATCATAAACATAATTGCAAAGGCAGAGAGAAAGAATCACCTTAGTGGGAATTGGCAGATATGCAAACAACACCAGATAGCAGAGGAAGATTCCAAACAGCAAGAGCTGTCCCAGCCACATGGTTCTCCACCTGCTGCCTGTGGGGGTGCCCAACAGTTTGTACAGGATGTAGATCTCAAACACAATCACACACAGGATTCCTAGACCTGGTTACAGACAGAAGAAAACAGGAGCTTATGTATCTCACCAAGAAACACTGTTAATGTTGGCACCATTCCGTCTTTCCCGACAATAGTGTTACACTGTACTCTTGGGATGCATTGGAAGCACAGACCATGGTGATGTAAGTAAACTTAGAGTATGGGATTTCGGTACCATGGTTTGTTCGACATTAGTCTCCCCAAACAGAGTAGGTCACTTTTCATTCACAAGTTTGTTGGGCCGGTCGACTTTCCTGAAGGTTACGTGTGTGTCCCGCTCTGTTCTTTGGTTTCTGTGATGTCATGCATTTACTTTTTCGGGGAAGGGGATGGGGGGGGGGGGGGGTGTTAGACCCAGTTTGTGTTTTTGGAGTGTTAAAAGCACTGGCGTGGTGAAATATACAACACGTGATATCAACAGCATTGCGGAACACCACCGTAACCGTGTGTGAAGGTCACGGGTCTCAGGAACTATCAATCAGAAGTGAGCTAGTGTGTTTATGGGCGGGGTATGGGGAGACTAACGTCAAACTAACCATTGCCATCATTTGTATTTAGTATGCTGTTTCAGAGACCACTTAAGGTCAGGGGTGAAGTTCCTTCTCTCTGTAACACAAAGCCTGGGCAGTATTGTAGAGACCATATGTTGCCCATGCATCATGATCCTTCTCTTCTGGTGGCCTGCCTTGTTTACTAAAAGGGAAAGGTAACAATAAGTTTTGAAAAAAAAAGCGTGCTGCAGAATCTGCTGAATCAGAAGAGCAGTGGTCTACCCATGCGTCACAAAGAAGCATTGGCCTTTTGTTTATGTGTGTTATACAAAAATTGAAGTTTTCACTGAACTGCTTTCTGAGATTTTATATTTAAATAGAAGGCTTTCTTCTGTTTAAAAAAAAAAATGTGCCAATACTTACAACAAAGTGTCTTTAATAGGTGTCGGTACTCACAATAAAGTGTCTAAAAAGATGGTATTTATGATAAAATGTCTATTACAGTAGTACTGAAAAAATGATGGAATCAGCACTGTATTATCTACATTTCTTGTATTTCTGATGGCATTTCTCTAACATCATTTAAATCAAAATATTTTCCCTATCATCATCACCTGCCATGCCAGTATGAATAGGCCAGTGGCTCTCAACCTTCTAATGTGGCGACCCTTTAACACACGTTCCTCATGTTGTGGCCACCCCCAACCCTACAGTTATTGTCATGGCTACTTCATAACATCAGTGAATTGTGTGTTTTCCAATGGTTTTTGGCAAAACCTACAAAAGGGTTGTACGACCCACAAAATGGTAACAACCCACAGAATGAGAACGGCTGGCATAGACTGCTATGTTTAGCCACCTCACAGGCTCACAAGAATCACAGCTTAGTTCAGTGTTTCTGTCTGGCCCCATCCATCCAGGTATTTATCTCTTTACCCTGCTCTTGCTCTCTTTCCATCAACGGAGCCAGTTGTTACCAAGTTCCCAAGCATACCCCTATTTTCACCATGCAGGTAAATGAAGGTCGGGAAATAATTCATCCCCGCCGTACATCTCTCTTGACTTTAAATGTCACTGAAGAGTTAAACTAATTCTAAATAACATTCAAATAAACTAAACAAAACACCCATCCATAAGTTAGTCGGCACCTTTCCGTCTTTCCTGACAACAGTGTTATATTGTGTTATGTAGGGATACAGGACTCACAGCCCATGGCTGTGCTGAGTTTGACTAGCAGGACCCGACCACAATAAGAGAAGCTTTCCATAATTAGAGCATGGAATCGTTGGAAACCGTTGTTGCCATCATTTGTGTTTAGTATTTTGTTCTCAGATACATAATCCTTTCTACAATCATGTTTTCCTGCATTCTTATTTTCTTCCTGATTTGCCCCCTCTAGGCAACATGGCCCATGGCATTTTCTGGGGCGCATTTTTATTTTAAAGCAGATAACAGTAGTACAGTAATCTCATATGCTTGTCATAAACAGTCTAGGAGAGTTGTGTGACACTGTCTAGCTCAGCAGTTCTTAACCTGTGGGTCGCGACTTCATTGGGGGTCAAACAACCCTTGTACAGGGGTCGCTGAAGACCACAGAAAAACACTGAAGTTATGAAGTAGCAACGGAATAATTTTATGTTTGGGGGTCACCACAACACGAGAATCTGTACTGAAGGGTCACAGCATCAGCAAGGTTGAGAGCCACTAGTCTAGCTCAACATTATAGAAAAACAAAACAGCAGAAATCCAGGTAATCATGAACAAGTCTACACAGGGCTTAGCATGAACCGACTGAGAACCTTTGCTTCCATTAAATCAACAGCATAAGGAGGAAGAGCAGCAGTAACAGGAGGAGCAACAGCAGAGGGAGGAAAAAAGAACAGGAAGAAGGAGGAGGAGGATTTGAAGAAGAGGAATAAGTGGGGGATCAGTAGGAGGAGGAGGAGGAAGACTCACCATCTATCAGCAGGTCATTTACAGAATGTCACTCTCAACATGAAATACCTGAAAGTCTCTCTTTCTCTTGCCATTTCTCCAGCCCTATGTGCTTTCATAGCCAGTGCATCTTCAGTGTCTTGTATTCACCTTTGTGGAGGTCAGCCTCCGCCTCATTTTCCAGAAAGTGTACCCTCCATCACGTTCTCTCCAGACCACCATGATGTTTAACATAGTCAAAAACCTCCACTTTTGGGACAGGATGCTGTTTATGAGCCAATTCTCCTTTATGTTCAGATCATGTACGATACTGATGTTTTTATTCTTCTTGGTGCATGGTAATCTAAGAATATTTCTGTAGCGTTTCAGTTCAAAAGCTCTGAATGTTATCTTCAATGACTGAGTCCATGACTCACATCCATAAGCTACCGTGACAAAGATGCATAATCTCAAGAAAAAGGAACAATAAAACAATATAGGTTGCATCTCTGCAGCTTTTCTAAGTAACGCTTACCAGCAAGAACTCCGAGAGCAATAATCCACTTCTGGCCGACATCAAAACGAGTTCCATATTCGTTATCATATCGTTCCTCCTCAGAAAAAGCACCTGTGATTACCTGCCCAACAGGATACATTACCTGGCTAGTAATAAAAGAAAAAAATTAACTGCATCAGTCTTCTTCTTCTTCATCTTCTTCTTCTATTTTCACCCTTTAAAAAGTGGTTTGCATGTTGTGTCGTGGTTTACATATGGGTTTACATGGGTAGAAGGGGTACCAGGTGAAGTCCTGGGAAGTAAAGGCGGCTGACATGATGCTGACCACATCACCCACCAAATGCCGAATGGTCTATAAAATACGGGTCTAGCCCTCTATACCCAATATGCCTGAAGGCGTGGAAAACATTCTTTACCTTACTTTATATGTGTTGAGATTGGAAATTACAGCATTTGGGATAAGCCCGTATTAGCTCCATCTCCATCAATAACCAATCACCATACTCATGGTGGCCGCTGTCATCTGGCTAACTACTCATCTGGTCTTTTCCTGAGTCTCGAGTGGAGCCCAAAACCCACAGGCACTCCCCGCTGCATCAGTCTCTCCAGGAACAGGTGTTTGATATCTTCCATTTTACTTCTTATTTCGCCCCAGCGGCGAAAGATCAAATCTGCCTAGTGCAGATGCAGTATACAGCAAGTGGGAGTGCCAGTCCAGTCAACCTATCTGGCTGCTTGTTCCCAAGCCCTCCTGCATGGCCTGGGCAAAATATCCATGTGACTCTCACCACCTGCGACCTGTGGATTTATTGACCCAATCCACATAAATAAAACCTGATCTGACCTTCCAGAGCATGCTCTCGGAATCTGATACCATGAAAATATGTGAGATACATGAGATTTCATTGTCTTTTACAGAAGGGCTGCAATATCTCCCCCTTTCCACACAATATATGCAGTTTCATGAAATTTTTTGTTGTTGCTTTTTACAACATGCTTTGGGCGGGGGGGGGGGGGGGGGGGGGTCCTATTCCCCCCCCCCCCCCCCCCCCCCCCCAACAAAATAGAGCCCTGGAACTAACTCTCAAAGGAATCGGCATCAGCCAACAGTCTTATTATCAAGTGCCTTGCCAGACATTGGCTTTCATGTCCCTCAGAAGAACTTTTATCACTGACACTTTAGATCTCCTAATGTGAGTTCTGGGATCCCATCTGTCGGAGGGGAGAAAAACATACCCTCTCCGCTCACCTAAATGTGTACACATCATAGGGTTTTTGGTTAACCCATACATCCCACGCTTGACTAAACTCCTGATTTCCCAGTCAGTTGTTATGCTAACCCTCTATGCTCTAGGTTTCTTTTAGACCTATTCTTGTACTACAGGGCTATTACTCTTCAGTTACAAATGTATTCTATATAGTTAAAGCCGTTTCCATAATAAAAGCTAACACAATGGTCTGGGACTGAAAGAGTTAACAATCATAGCATAAAATACAAATAACTAAGGGTTTGCTGAAATCAGATGTTAGGACAAAAGAGGCAGATATCACAGCCTAGCTGTAAACCACAGTGTAACATGCCAGCCACCATTTTAATGGTGAACATAGTAGATGAATATGTTCTCAACCAATCTTACTGATATTCTGCCAGGCTATTATCTTTTATTATCAAGCATAATGCTTCCTTCAACTGCCTGTCGATAAGTTTTATGATTTTAACACTTCAGACCCGACCATTATTTATCTATAATTTTCAAATTCTTAGAAACGCAAGAGTTAAAAAGTATGTAAAACCTCCTTGATATAGGAAGAGTTATGTAACACCCGTTTTGTACTCAAAGAGTTAAATAACAACTGCTTGCTACTGACAGAATTAAACAACCAAATAAGATATTCTGGGTTAGTGTAACCACTCTCTGTGATCATCATCATCATGCAGTAGGTTCTTTTAAAAAAAAAAAACATCTCTATCCGCAGCCTGCCAGAGAGCCATTCTGTTCTTTGTAAACTTTTCCTATACTGATGGTGCCAGCTGCAACCTGATTATAGGTTTCCCCCCTTGCAGAGGGAAAATCATCCACACCCTCTGCTCTCATTCAGCTGAATTGTTATCTCTAGAGATGAATGTTCTATCTGTTCTTCTGCACTGGTTACTTGATTCCAGAGAGTTCACTTCCTGTATTTTGAGTGGGGCAGGAAGGGAGGTCGCCGAGTCTGATGATTTAGCAACGTATGGCTAGTCCTGTCACCTGGAACTGTGCTGGTCAGGGTTTTATTTCTACCTCCGAGAGAAAACATCCTCAACCTTATTCAGGATTCAAACCCTTTTCTCCCTCGAACTCGGGTCTCCCGGAGAAAGTTCACTACATCCGTTTTATTGCAAATTAGTTCACCACTCAGGTGCATCAGCAGGTAATCTGTCAGCCTGCTCATTACCACGGTGAGCTGTTTAGTACACAAAACAGTTTTGAAAGAGAAGAACTCCACCTACCAAATGTTGAACATCCTTACCTGTATTTACTAGGGGTCGTGGGAATGGATGTTGTCGAAGCGTTGCCACCCGTCACAGCTGTGGTTGGCGCAGCTGTAGTACTAGTGATCACCTCACAGCACACACCCTGGCCTGGGTTCGGGCAAGAAGGGTTGCCAAATAAGCTGCCATATGCTCCATTTCTCAGGTCCTCAGTGATAGGGTTGACCATGCCATTAGTCACAGTCAAATTACTGAGCTATCACAGGGAAAAAACAATCAATGTGACAAATACATAGCAGCACCGAGATCAAGAATAGAAGAGGCCAGAAAAAAATGCATTAAAAAAAAAATCTTATGCAATAAATCCCTTTCAATCGTTTCTCCAGGTATGCCGGTGTAGTGGGTAATAAACAGTGAGACGGATTGGCTGGATCTAAACCACATGGTGGTGAATTGATACATGACAAGGCAGATGTGGTCAAGGCCCTTTAGGGAACAAGCAATGGAATCAGTAGAGAAACAAGATTATTATGTCCTGGAGAGAATGAGGCCGCTGGGTGTAACCAGAGGGTCTGGCCGGCTCACTAAACTCAGAGGAAAGGCAAGACGGACATATAACCAGATTGTGACCGGTACCATCAGTACTGGAACTCTGCGCTGGCTGCTGAAGATGAGGACGGAGCATGCATGGACATGCCCTGAGTGCTGTGATGTCAATTCTTGAGTCAACTCAACTCAACTAAATCCCTATCATGGGAGGTGAGAAAAAGAATGTGTGTATGCTATACAGAACCAGTTTTTACACGTGGTTGTAAATTCTGAACAATTAATAAATAAGCCAAACAATATTTAGAGGCCCCAGTGATGTGGTTTGACAGAAGAATGCTTACAATTCCTTGGACAGCCAAAATGAGTAACCCAGATGTTTTGACAGAGGCAAGGACCTGAAGACAACATTATCACAAATATCAGAATGAGAAGGAACATCTGACCACTGGAAAGATTTGTGGAAAGAAAGACAGAGGAAAACAACCAGTTATCAGGGCAGGGAGGGGTGTCAGCATATGAAATGATACATGCTGTTTAGGGATCGCAGGGCGTGGAGAAGCATGATGCCCACAAAAGTCGGCAAGGCACATGATGATGATGATGATGATGATTAGCGGGAGGATGATGAAAGCTACTGAATAACATCTGGTTTGAAGCAACGTATATTTTCTTTTTTCATTTCCATCTTCTTCTTCTTCAATCATTTTGTCAGAAAACCCATGCTCATCTTCAGTATATCCCTCAACGTGTGGCAACTGATAAAACCAGTTCTATGTAAGTTTACTGTTCTTCTTTAGCTATCTGTATAGTGTTCAAGTTTGGCGACACATCTTTTAACCTGAAGTACTTGTAGTCTTTTGAGTGTTGCTGATTCAATGTCATCTCTTGAATCACTTTCTCGTCCCACCTCTTTGAGAACACTAAGAATGTCAGCCCTATGTGCCAATGGTATGAACATAATCCTTCACTGTGTATTTTACTACTAAGGATTTGATCCTCAGCCTTCCTGAATAGGAGCCCAGTGTACTAACCCCTTGGCTAGCAGCTCCTGAACAGTTTTGCTACAAGGGCAAAAATAACACTGTAAACAATTTATTATGCATTTCCATCTGTACTTAAGATCCCAAAAGTTACAAGTTAAATGCATTATAAATCAAATGCCAAACAAAGTAGGTCATGTTCTATTGATAACTTTGTTGGACTGGTCTACTTTCCTGGGGGTTACGGGTGTGCCGCTCTGTTGTTTGCTTTCTGGCTTGCCTTGCATTTACGTTTTTCTTTTGAGAAAGAGAATGCCTAGGTTGCAGCTCCCTCTAGGGGGATTGTGTGTTAGACCCAGTTTGTCAATGTTTTTGAAGTGTTAAAAGCACTGGCGTGCTGAAATATACAACATGAGATAACGACATTGTGGAAAATCCCGTAACCTTGTGTGAAGGGCGCGCGGCTCAAGGTCGACCAATCAGAAGTGAGCTGGCTGAAGGTCAACCAATCAGAAGTGAGGTAGTATGTAACAAGGTTGTTAATGGGGGGGGGGGGGGGGGGGCTAACTTTACTTTTACCTTCTGTATATTCTTAGGCAGAAGTGAACAATCATCAAATAGGACTGAACTAGGAAACACAGGGATTGAGGAAACAAGGAAATCCAAAGGAAACCACTTGATAAAAACTGATCAGAGATGCCAAAGGTGCTGGAGGATCCCATTGTCCCTGTTTAGGTTCAGGTTCCATTTTGGAGAACAAAGAAGACACTGCCCCCCCCCCCCCCCCCAAACAAGCATGCCATAGGAGTTGACTAATTAGGGGTGTTTTCTCCAATGCTGGAGTGCATCTACATGAAAAGTGAGGAACCAATAGCCTGCATACAAAAACGCCATATCTGTAAAATGGATGTACATGTAAAACTCAAGTTCTGGCACAAGACCAAAGTCCAGGAGTGGACAAACAACCAGAATTTTCTGAAGGAGTTTACAGCTGGGGAACGCTAAGAAGAAGAAGAAGAAGAAGAGGATTCCCTTCATGATACTGAAATAACTGCACAGGACAGAAGGGAATGGAAGAATAAACTGCTAGCCCAGTGTGACATATACCAGCACAACAAAATAGTAATGATTTCTGTCTATAGTAACTCTCTTGGTTTCTCCACATGGTGAGACACGATTTGATTGCACAAACTGAACTTCAAGGGGGGAGGAGGGTGTGGGGTTGTAGTCAAAGAAGATGAGGACAAAGAAGAACCTGGAATGATAGCATCAAGAAATGGACAGGACTAAGTTATCATACACTTGTTCAACAAGCTGGAGACAGAGGAAGATGGGGTTTTTTGTGTGTTGGTGCTTCCAATAATACACCCCCACGACCCTAAGGGGTCAAGGGTTATGTTACATTATAGTAACTCAAGATAAGAAACAGATGAGACTTACCGGCTGGAAAGTGATTGTGCTGCTGGCATCGTTCTTGACATTGAACACATAGATGGTGTATTTGATGTTGTTGTAGAGCAGGTCCCCAGAGCTGTTCATGTGCATGCCCAGCTTTGTTTTCAGCTCTAAATATAAAGCACTGACTTTGCTTCCCAGATTACGGTATTTACTGCAGAACTGGTAGGTATTTCCTCCACACTTCATGAATGCATTGTCTATTCCCTGAAAGAAAATATACACGACATATCTTGCTTATAAACAGTATACCTACCCCCATGTGGTTTCCAGGGCACCATTGTGTGATGGTTGTGGTGGTGTTGGTGGGTGGGTGGGTGTGAAAGAGAGAGAGAGAGACAGAGAATGAGAGAATGTGTGTGAAAATGAGAGATAGAGAGAGAATGAGAGAAGAGACCCACTGCCCTCTAACAAGCATGTTGAAAAAGATGACTAATTAGGCGTGTTTTCTTTGAAGTCGGAGTGCATCTGCCTGTGAGGTCAACAGTCTGCCAACAAATAAGCCTGACTGGTTTCACTGCATCTGCCTGTGAGGTCAACAGTCTGCCAACAAATAAGCCTGACTTGTTTCACTGATGTGCATGCAACACCTAAGTTCTCAAACAAGACCAAAGCCCAGAAGAAGATGAACAACCAGAACTTTCCACTTGAGTTTACAGCCAGTGAAAGCTGAGAAGAAGAAAAAGAAAAGCATACTGAAGTTAAAGGCTAGCGAACAAGAGGTAGACAGTGATACAAGTTAAAAAGATAACATCAAGAAATGAACAAACAGCAGTCACAGCGTCTGTACAACAACATTGTATTGTATATCCACAAGGACAAATACATTGGACATTCTCCTCCTTCTTGTCTAGTCCTGTGCTGTCTTTAAGTGTCAGGTTTTGAAGAGGCATTGGATGCAAGCCTTGGTATGTGCTATGTCATAAGCATGGAGTGTCCTTTGCAGAACTTTGCCATCATCAAGGTATGCCTGACAGAAACTCAGTCTCTCGCCAGTTCTCCCACCTCCCCATTTTCATGATGGTTGGCCCTGTCGCGAGACGCCGCTTTAAGTACACAATGATAGCTTAAATGACGTACCACCCCTTTTGACTCTTATGTTTTTTCTCTCTTGGCTATGTCAAGAGTGAGATCGTTTTCGCCAGAGATGATGTAGAGGGAAATCCCTATGTGTATACAGATGCTGTTTGGGAAAATCCCAGTTTAACTAGTTTGTAAATTCCCGGCACGTCAGTGCCCATCGCTTTCACATATTGACGTACTACCATCAACTGTGTGGCAAAAACTTTGCTACAAATTTAGATACGCTAAGCACACGCGACCACGATCATTCACTTCCGGATGCTAGCAGAGGCGAGGGTGCGTTTTGAAAAAGACAACTTTAACTTTATTTTTCAAGCCGCCTATAAACCTAGCTGTATGGTCGAACACACCATATAGTCTTAACATCTACATCCACGTGAAAAAAATAATTATTACCTACATCGTGATTTCCTTTTCGGAGCACTATTTTGTGTGATCTTAGAATCGTACCAAACAGAAGAAATAGCAAGAGGATTAATTTTAGCTGCTGTACCCGGATCAGAAACTAGATCTTTGAGATGATATTCCTAATTCCTATTATTCTGTATCTAGGATGCTATTTCTATTTATTGTATTTAGAATTAGAAAATTCATCTCCTGTTGCTGGTAGATAAACGATCTATGGCTGTTTATCATGGTCTGTGTACTGACTGGTAACATTTCACTGGAGACGTTTTCTTCTCATTTTCATACTTCTATAATTCCTGATATTTACTTTGTGTTTCAGTAAATGCTGGTTTTGATTTCAAGACAGATACTCATGAGATTATCTTACTTGTACACAGCCTTAATTAATAATGTAATGTCCATGACATTCTGTCTAAGACAACTACACATTACCAACCTGTTTTATCAGCACCCCAAAAGCTGGCCACAACCAGAAATTAACCACACAATGGTTAATTGTGCCGCTCTTATCTAGAATCCTCAACATTTATAGAGATAATCCTACAGCACACTGTCCGATTTTGTGTTGCATTTATAACTGCATATTGCTGTCCGAGCTTGAGGAAATATGCAGTAGTACACTATCATCATGAAGGAAAAGACGGAAGACCATTCATCTGGACTGGACAGTAGTCAGAAGTGGCAGCTATATAAATGACCATGCTGAGGGACAATTTTTTCCATTTCTGACAATATGAAGAGAGAGGGGAGAGTTGAAAAACTATTTTATTTTGCAGAGTAATGGGGACTATACATTTTGATCGTTTCCATCTCTAGCTGCTGAGAAGCCAAGGACAGATTCCTTGTTCCGTGTGGCAGGATGAGCCCCAGAACATGGACAGGCTGGTCGTAGTTGATGACTGAAGTGCCCAGAGAAAGGTCTTGGTGATTGGGAGAGATCCAACATTCCATCTCAAAGTAAAATGGATGAGCCTCTGGGAAACCCCAGGTGGTAATTGTTGTGTTAATTCTCACTGACCCTCTCATGACGAAAGTTTCATGTGACTATTATTATTATTTTCTCTCATATCTATTTAGTATGAGGACTGTATTTTAAAAGTACTAAATGATTGATATTGACTATTTTAATAAACATATCTATGATTGATTACACATCCATAGTTAGAGTTGAATTCTATTTCTAGATGTGTGTATAGTGTCAATTTAGTGCTGTCCATCAATATACCTCTTCTAGATGGGTGCTTAATTTAATGAACAGAAAGGAAAGTTGTTGGGAGGGTTAATCTGTCTAGCTTTTCATTTAGTAAGTGCTGGCTGGGTATCTAAATTCCCTTTTCCCATTTCTGGGAAGCGGGGATATTCAGGCGGCTCACTTTCTATCACAAGCCAATTCAAGTCTGTATCTCAGTATCCAGGGTCACTGACTACTCTTTGCATCAAAATACAGCTGTCTCGGCTTCTCGCTTGCATCAGGAGGGAGGGTTTAAACCCACATCACCACCATATTGAGTAAAAGAGAAACCTGTTCCATAACAGGCCCCTGCCTCTCCTTTCTGGTACCATGTCTTCTGCTATTATTTTTTTCAAATCTGCCATGGCGCTTGATATGACAACAATATTTCAGCTTCCAAGACAAGATGCTGTTTATCAGCCAATCTTCCTTGATGTTCAGATCAGCTTAATATGTCAGTACTTCTTCTACAAAGCGGTGTCCATGGCTTAGGCCTTGCAAATCCCACTTGTAATTCGAACGTACCACAATCGAAACCCACTGCCGGTTGCGTGGATTTGTTTTATCATAGTATAGTTCGTCGCAGGTCAACCCAGCCTAAAATGGGTACCAGGATGTTTGTCCTGGAGAAATAAAGACAGCCGGCGTAATGCTGACCATATTACGCACCTAGTACCGTTTGGTCTGTAAAAATATGGGTGCTCTTCCCATATACTGATGCACCTAAAGGCGTGAAAAGGAATCTTTCTATAGAATTTCAGCTTAAAAGCCCCTATGTGCTATGCTGGTATTTACAGCCTCAGATCATTCACTGCCTGTGTGGTTGACTTTGAGGTCTGCCTCTATTGGGTCTTAGTGGTGCAGGGCTCTCTGTCATGACCACAACATCCAGCTTAAGAATGGAGGTGGAGGCGGTCACTGCAGCTTTCCGCTGGCTAGAGAACACGACACACACACACACATCATGACTGTAACTGATTCAGAAAACACGCTGAGGAAGATCAGAACAGGTATGCTTCGTGCAGAGTGGCATGCTTCGCTGCGGAGGACACGGGTGAGGAGTCTTGTCTGGATTTGTTCACCAGTGCACGCTGGTGTGTTGGGAAATGAACAGGCGGACAGACTGGCTGGCTCTGCACAACTTGGTGGAATACTGATACATGATAAGGCAGACGTGGTTAGTGCCTTGTGGCAGAGCGTGTACAGTCCGGAGGAGCAGATGGATCACCACAGTCTGATGAGATTGATGCAGCGGGGAGTGACGAGAAGTTCTGGCAGATGCTCGAGGCTCATAGGGAAGGCAAGACGGATGTTTAATCAGAATGCTACTGGCACCATTAGTATTGGAACTCCGCACTGGCTGCTGAAGATGGGGGACGGAGCGCTTATGGGAATGCCCTGAGTGCTGTGATGTCGGTTCTTGAATCAAATCAAATCAATCAAATCTCTGTCATGAACTATCTGGTGGTAGTCTTAATACAGTCCAAACCAATTGATGTGTTGTCTATTGATGTAGTCTAGTACTGGTTCTGTCCCAACTTCTTTCCTGAAACTGTCATTTCTTATCCTCTCTTCTAGTTGGGAGTCGCCGTGGCGTAGCAGCTAGACGCTTGTGTGCTGACAGGAAGGTTGTGGGTTTGCTTCCTGGTGGAGCCGGACATTTTTATAAAATGACCTTGACTCCCCAGTCAACCCAGCCTTGAGTGGGTACCGGGTGCAGTCCCGGGAAGTAAAGGTGGCCGTAGTGATGCTGACCACATCACCCATCTTTTGCTGATTGGTCTATAAAAATATAGGTCTAGCTTTATATGCCCTATACGCCTAAAGGTGGGGAAAAGGGGACTTTACCTTTTTTTTTAACTCTTCTAGTTACATTTAGGATTTCTTGTGGACATTTTATGTCTGTATGGATTTTTCGCTCGGCTGATGTTAATATCCATGTTTGGCATCGGTAACACAATGCTGGTAACAAAATCCTGTATTAAAAAGTGCTTTTTTGATGTCAGTTGTTTCAGCTGTTCAGAAAAAACTGATGATATCTGTCCAATGGTTTCATTTGTTTTATCACCCAGTATATTGTAGGGGACAAATGTGCTTTAGTGTGTATTGAATAAATGTAGGATGTAAAAAGATATATAACATGTTGACTGATGCACTAATTTAATCAAGGACAAACTGCATTTCTGGTGGTGACTTGTCAGCTTTGGCACCTCTAGCATCTGCATTTACTGCGTAGGCATATTTCTGGATTGTTCAGGGACTAATTGTTTGTTCACCATTTTTTTTTCTCAACAAGACATTTAATTTGATTCATACTGGCACAGGACCGGAGCAAGTATGGGGACACCCGACTGCAGTGAAGTTGAAACCTTGACTAAGACCAAGTAATAGCAAGTCCATGTGCGTTGTTTGAGATGTAGAAGTTCATATTACTTTACCTGAATGATGGCCTTGACACTGGACAAAGTATAATATACACTGAATTTGACAGGGCTTGCTGTTGTGTCACGAGTCAAATCCAGTGGCCTGAAAAACAGCAGAGTGGAAGTGTGTGAACCCAGTGTTGAGCTCGCAAAATAGCTGAACACAAAAACATGTTTGTCTGCAGAAAGGGGGAGGGAATGGGATTATCATCTACCAAATAAATATGACATAACCTTAACAGTGATATCCAGAAACTGATGTCACCAAATCTCTGATTTTGCTAATGAAATGTGTTGCAGACAAACTCAGACATTTTTTTTTTAAGCATCCAGAAACCATGAGTTGTAAACCCTTTGGCTTGGTACTATGGATATCACAACCCTTCGGCCTTGATTCAATTAAAGGTACCATTAATCTGGGAGAAATGTGGCTTTTCTGCCTACCTCCGGGAGTGAACCCAGACCACAAGGAAGTTCGTCACCCGGCTGCCGCGAAAGTCAGGTTTAACCAACTACGCTAGAGAGCTGGGCACAAACTCAGACATAGGATAGAGTATCTGTCAGGACACTCTGATAAAAAAATATAAGCATTTCATGCTTCTCAGGGGATAGAGTATCTGTCAGGACACTCTGATAATAAAATATAAGATTTTCATGCTTCTCTGGGGATAGAGTATCTGTCAGGACACTCTGGTAATAAAATATAAGCCTTTCTTACTTCTCTGGTCAGTGAGTTTACAGATCAAAAGAGTGTGGTAACCTCTCTTAGCAACCGTTTGTCTGGGGGGCAGGATTGTAGTGGTGGACATGAATAAATACATAAATTACACATGTATATATACACACACACATATATATATTTACACACAACAACCCACCCACACTCCCATGGCACACACACGTGTATTTACACACAACAACCCACCCACACTCCCATGGCACACACACACATACATTTACACACAACCCACCCACACTCACATGGCACACACACATTTATTTACACACAACAACACACCCACACTCCCATGGTACACACACATATATTTACACACAACAACCCACCCACACTCCCATGGCACACACACATACATTTACACACAACAACCCACTCACACTCTCAAGGCACACACACATATATTTACACACAACAACCCACCCACACCCTCATGGCACACACATATATATTTACACACAACAACCCACCCACACGACACACACACACACATATATTTGCACACACACATGAAAAACTATTTTTTTTTTAAAAGGTGATGTGGAATGAATAAGATATAGGTGACATCTTAAATGATAGTGCATTTTAAACTGTTTATCTGTTGTGACTGCTTCTTCCATCGATGATGAACTACAATTCTAGCGGCAGCCTATTGGTGTAGGCCTTTCTGGTGCTCTCTTATGCATTTAATCACGTTGACACTACTGGTTTTGCCGAGACTGCAGTCTGTTTCAACTTGTTTCACAAGAGATAGTGAAAGGAATTCTGTGTAATTTTTTTGTAACTGGCAGAGGAATAGAGCAATTATGGAGTGACCTGTTTGCCAAGAAGCTGGAACTGCTGGTAACTGCTGCCAATCATCTCCTCTCCTCTCTTCTTTATGTTCACCAGCTGTAAACTCCAGCACAAAGTTCTGGTTGTTCATCCACTTGTGGACTTCAGTCTTGTTCCAGAACTTAAGTTTTGCATGCACATCAGTTTTACAGATCTAATTTATTTGTATCCAGACTGTTGTTTCCTTGTCGCTCATTCAGATGCACTATGACTTTGAAGGAGCCTCCTATGACATGCAGTGGGTCTGTTCTTTTTTCTTCAAAGTGGGTCTCCGGAACACACACAAGGAGCCAGTCCACAGAAACCTACCTCTTGCTTGTTAAATAATCTGTCATCCAAACTTTGCCGACATCACTGTTTAGACCAGGGGTTGAGTCACTCATGTTTAACATCTGAAGAAAGCTGTTGAACTCATTTAATGTGGCAGTAAAGTCGGCAGGCTCTGTTAGGTCAATAATGATGGTGTTGTTACCCAGTGCTGCCTTACTTTCCAGCAGCTGTCTGTGAATGTAGCAGTAGTTTATTTAAATTAATAATATCCTGTTCAATCCTTAAGATGTATAAATGGGATACGTGGAGTTTATATATAATAAAAAGAATTAACAATAAATGAAGAAATTGAAAATGCCACAATCTCTGAATAAAGGTAACGTCAGGAGATTTGGACCAGTGTTTCTGCACACGGTTATAAACCATAAGTTTGATACCACCAGTACATACAACTGATAAGAAACTGTCTGCTTGTATCGCCGTCCACATGAAACTCGGTTGCTACAGCGACATTCCTCCATTTACTCCAGAGTATTAACTCTGATACCCATTTCCTAGCGGCTGGGTAAACCCCAGGAACCACCCAGTTTCGAACACAGAAAGTCACAGTTTGGATTTGAAAGCGAGTCTCCTATCCACTGCGCCAACGTGACTCTATAATAAATAGGACAAATAAGAGAATAAATACTGACATTTTAAAAGATCTGATATCAGGGAAGATTGGCTAATAAACAGCAGCTTGTTTCGGAAGCTGAATCACTTTTGGTCATATCAAGCGCCATGATAGATTGGAAAAAATTACAGCAGTGGGCATGATACCAGGAAGGAGGGGCAGGGGCCGACCAATATGAAGACAGCCGCAAGATGTAAGTGACTGCTTGAATATTAAAGTACACAAAATGGAAGAGCTGGCGAAACACCAAGTTTCTTTCAGACAGACTGTGACCAGAGCGACATTCTTCTGCAAAGGACCTGTTACTTGATGATGATAGTTTTTAATCTTTACAGATTTTTGATATTTATGTTCATTTATTACTTTTTTGGCCATTTCTTCTTCTTCACCTTTTAGTTCATCTGCATAATTCAACTACATGTGACTTCATCTGGCATCTGCTTACTGGGTTAGCCTTCTCAGACACTGATGGCCATTTAATATTGTATGTAATATGTGATCATTAAAACATTAAAAGATTATAGAATTTAAGTGCTAAGAATAATACATCTCTTACCCGTGTGGGTTCGGGGGCCCTATTATAGGGAAAACAAGAACAGATCCACTGCCTACCCAAAAGCATGTCGTAAGAGTCGACTAACTGGGAGCTTCCTTTGAAGTCAGAGTGCATCTGCCTGAGAGGCAAGGAACCAGCAGTCTGCATGCCAATGAGTCAGATCTGTAAAAGGGATACACATGCAACACTCAGGTTCTGGAACAGGGCTGCAGTCCAGAAGTGGATGAACAACCAAAACGTGTCCGCCGGAGTTTACAGCTGGTGAACACCAAGAAGAAGAATAATAATAATACATCTTCTCTTTAATCTCAGTGTTCACCGGCTGTAAACTCCTGTGGAAAGTTCCGGCTTTTCATCCATTCTTGGACTTCAGTCTTGTTCCAGAACTTGAGTCCTGCAAGCACATCCGTTTTACAGATCTGACTCACCTATATGCAGACTGTTGGTACCTCTCTTCTCCGACCCCAAGTAGTTGAATTTTATGGCATGTTTGTTAGGGGACAGGGAGTTAATTTCCCCCCCCCCCCCTTACAAGGAGGCCCCAGAACCCATACAGTAAGAGTAGTTTATTATAAGTGTACTTTATGGCATTAAGCGGCAGGACAAGATCACAAATACTGAGGTACTGGAAAGAGCAGGCATTACAACAGTCTTCTCAGTGCTCAGCCTATGAAGGCTCAGGTGGCTGAGTTACACCTGTCCTTAAGGACATGCATTAGAGATGGGTAGAAGATGTCGTGGCCGACCTCTGCTACGATATAAAGATGTGTGCAAACGGGACATGAATGATACAGGTACTGAGGTGGACTCATGGAAACAAAATGTCATGGACCATGTTGTGTGAAGGGGGCACATCAGAAAGGGAGTGATAATGAAGTAAGATATTATTGCAGAAAGGATGAAAGCTGAGCGTCTAAGGAGAACCGGCCAGTCTATTTGCCTGCTAGTTTCCCAACACACTGGCATTACCTGGAGAAAATATCCAAAAGATGCTAACTACCCAGGACCTCTGAAGAGAAGCTTGCCACTATGCACAGAGCATGCCTGTCTCCACCTTTCAAGCATCCTTTGGATATTTTCTCCAGGTGATGCCAGTGTGTTGGAAAATGAGCAGGCAGACAGACTGGCTGGCTCTGCACCACTTGGTGATGAATTAATATATGACAAGTTAGATATTGTGAGGGCCCTTTGGGAACGGATGAACAGTGCGGAGGTGCAGATAGATCATTGAAGTCTGAGGAGAATGGCCCTGCCAGGAGTTACCAGGAGATCTGGCCAACGCTTAAAACTCAGGGGAAGGATAAGACAGATATATAACCAGACAGTTACTAGTACCATCAGAATTGGAACTCTTCGCTTACTGCTGAAGATGGGGTCTGAGCACTTTATGAGAGTCTCCTGAGTGCTGTGATGTCGATACTTAATTCAACATCAACCTTTCAAGTCAGGTTACTCACCGATCTCTTCCTATTCTCGACGTGAGAATGAATATAAAACTGCTCAGAGTGCTACTCAACATATTCATTTCGGTCATCAAAGAGGACACCTTAGATGCAGACATAAGTGGCACAATGTATTTCACGGAGACACTGTTGAAGAGTCTGGTTAATATGGTGCTCATCTGCATGAAGAAATATCAAAGACGGTAAATTATTGTTTTAAGTAAATAAGTAAAGGACAATTTTCATTAACTTTTTTAGTCCTTTGGGTTTCTCCATGGTGAAGTGGTCAAGCCGCCTGCCTCGCGCTCTGAAGGTTGTGGGTTCGTTTCACGGTGGCGCCATTCAGTTCAGGAGTGCAATTTTCACTGAGATTCTTGGGGATCGTCGCCAGAGCTACGGAGGTCATGCTCTGTGTGGCGCTCTCAACAGGCAGCTTGTTGTTCAGGGGAGAGAGACTGAGCTAAATGGGATAAAACCAGGTGCAATGAAGTCGATCCTCTCAACTCTACCTTTTAGTCGCAAACAATGCACTATGTATGAGAAGGATTTACTCATATGCACCAGTTAACATATTATTATTATACTTGTACATTTTTATGTTTAGTCAAAGCTTGCTAAAACACCTAACATCACATTTGTTTCCCATACAGATGAATGCTAGAAATAAAGCCAGTCTTACAGGCAATCAGAGAACAACAAATGAAGTGGTTTGGACACCTTACAAGAATGCCCTGGTACCACAGCCAGCCACACTGAAAAGTTACAACGGGTACCGAGCGAATGGAAGACCTCGGAAAAGACAGAGTGATGGCATTAAGAACAACCTTACAGAAATAAACATCAATTTAAAAAATGCTTTTGACAGAGCTCATCAACGAATGTTACATCTTCACTGAGGTACAAGGTGGAAGAGGAGAAGAAGAAGCAGAAGAAGATATGGGATGTGTATTTGGGTTCTGTGGATGTAGTATACCCATTATTTTGTTGCCTTCACAGTTGACTTACTAGGGCAGAATACTGTGACCTGGTATGGGCCAACTGAAATAATCTTGATGCAACTATGAGCACATCATCATCATGTAGCAGGTCTTTTGCAGAACGTTGCTCTCATCACAGTCTGCCTGAAAGAAACTGGTCTCTCGCCAGCTCTCCTGTACTTTAATTATTCAAGGAGTCACCTATATCCTGTGCCCATCTTCATGTTGGTCAGCCCCTGCCCCTCCTTCCTGGTACCATCTCTTCTGCTATTAATTTTTCAATCCGCCATGGGACTTAATATGACTTAAATATTTTAGCTTCCGAGACAAGATGTTGTTCATTAGCCAATCCATAATGTTCAGAGCTTTTAAAATATCAGTATTTCTTTTCTTTTTTGTCCATGGCATTCTGGGAATCTTTCTATAGCATTTCAGCTGAAAAACCCCTTTCTTTTTGTGAGCACAGGTGACATTAAATCACTGATATACAAATTTATAACAGAGGAATAGTTTTTCAAGATGGACCAAAATCCCAATAGTAGACATTCATACAAGTTATTTAATATTCCTAAAAGACAATGTTAGAGAAGAGGCAAACTTAAAATCGCATGCCTAGAAAACTGCTTAGACCAGTGATTCCCAAACTGTGCGCCGCGGCACCCCAGGGACACCCTTTTTAAGATGTTATGTGTTTCAACGCTACTGTAATTGAGACTTTGTGGTGATACTGCCACAAGAAGCCAAAGAAGAATAAGAAACCGACACAGGACTGGTGCCGGCAGCCGCCGCATGCAGGATTTACTGAGAAAAGAATCCCAGCACTTAGGGACTAAATGGTTTAATGTGTAATGAGGATAATCTGTCGACTAACTAACTGCCGCATTTTTGTCTGGAAAACTGACCTGGATAGACCTTGATTTCATATTTCCAAGAGACACTCTATAGGCGATGGGGTCAACATCACACAGGCTACCCACATGTACACCAAATTCAAGATAGGTGTATCAGCCATGTGCACCTGTGGAAAGGTGCCTAGGACAGCAGAACAATGTACTCTACAACTGTACTGAATCTGATACATTAGGTCAAACCTCCTAAACTCTATGAATCACTGAATGAGCTAAAAATGACAGTAAAATTTACACAAGAGGCAAAACTGCTGATATAGACAGCTTATTTCAGGCGATCAAAAAAAAAGGACACAGGCCACCTTTACTTCCTATTATATTACCTAGCACTCATTTTAGGCTGGGCTGACCCCGGAGCAAATCTAACTCAACATGGATTTGAGTTCCTACATATAACAACAAATTCCCTTTTGTAAATACCAACCTGCATCGTATCTATGTCTGCAGTGTATTGTATACAAGGTACAGTAGCAGCCGAGCTGGATCTTATTAGCTGGGTCAGTTCTTCATAGGCAGCCTTCCAGTGGCGATCAGAACTTGAGTACAAGATGATAACAAAGCTTGCATTCACACGATTTAGAAACGCAACAATTCCTTGCAAGTCGTATGAAAATGAGGGCCTCATTTTTAGCAGAGTTTCCTGATTCTGAAATGTGAGATCTGGGAACAAACAACAAAATATTTAACATGAATTTTAACTCTTTGGTCCCAAGATGTTTGCAGCAGATGCCCGGGGGAGGGAGGGGGGAGAGGGGGAACCACTATAAAACCAGAGAATCTAGACCTAGGAAGCAAGCTCTAAACAAATGTAAAAATCATGAAGACACATCACCTGTTGCTTGGGATTTAAGGAGTTAAAAGTAAATTCAGAGTTTTGTATTTAACATATTGTTGTTAAAAGTAGGATCGTAGAAAGAGACATAACCAACAGTGCATTGGGACTGTCCTTGGAAACAGCACACAGATGATCCTTACATTAAACCCCCCCCCCCTCCCCCCATGAATGCAGGCATGCACACACACTTTGAGGAAGTAACTGCAGGAAGTAATTTGTTTGTTTACAGAGATTTTAATATTCTGATTTTCTTTTGCAGGGATTTTTTTTTTTTAAGCTGCAATTTGTTTCATTTATTATTCATATCAGCTGGATGTAAAATTCTTTTTCCCCTCTTCCCCACCCTTTCCCCCCACATTTCTGCCACGAAAAAGAAAACAAATTGTGCAGTTTGAAAAAAAAAAAAAAAAACTAGCTGCTGCACTGTAACTACCTTCTGCTTCTTTTGTCGTCTTACTCATACTATGCTGTAGACCAGTGTCATGGTTTTCTCTGTTTGTCTTGCTCTTCTCAGGTGATGGATTTGTTAATCTTTTGGCAGGCTTCTGCTACACCACTTATCTATCTTTTTCTTGGTCTTCCTCTAGGCTTTCTCCCAGATGTTCTTCTGTAAAAAGTCTCACATGCAGTTTCTTCATTCGTCAATTTAACCAGACATGGTCTTACTTCAAATTTCTCTCTAATGCTGGTATTCGTAACCCTGTCTCTTCTTGTGTCACTACATAATCACCTGTATCTTTAGGTTTCTTATATCACGTATGATTCTCATATATACTTGTAGCTTTTTTCTACAGTCACAAGTTTAGAATACCACGGACTAAGAAGAAGAAAACCTACATGATCTGAGCATCAAGGAGAATTGGCTCATAAACAGCATCCTGTCCCAAAAGCTGAGGTGCTCTGGCCTTGTTAAACCTCATGGTGGCTGGGAGAGAACGGTGATGGAGGCTAGTTCCTGGAGAATGAGGCAGACCTCCATGAAGGTGGATACAAGACACTGAAGATGCACTGGTTATGAAAGCACACAGGGCTGGAGAATTGGCTAGAGCAGCGTTTCCCGAACTTTTCTTAGTCGAGGCGAATTTTTTCAATTGAAATTCAGCGCCCTAACCTAAGTAAAAGTATGACTTTGTATGTAAGAGATTGAAAAAATAAAATAAAATTTGTGTAGCTTTGAATATTTTGCGGCGCCCCTTTGAAGAGGTCGAGGCTCCCCAGGGCACCGCGGCGTAGTTTGGAAATCACTGGGCTAGAGAAAGAGTCTTTCATGCATGCTTTGATGACAGCGACAATCTGTAAAGCCCTTGGTGATTAATGATGATGATAATCGTAGCCATGTTTAACCGAAAGACAGGCTACATATTTTCATACAACAACAACAGCACAACTTACATGGAGAGTCTGCCACTGGACTGAACATAGTAACTGACAAATCTGCAGCAAGAGCGCCTGCATTTTCAGCATCTGTGTTTGTGTAAGGCCCCACATATGCAACTAGATTCTCCCTCTGCATATTGTCCACATTGATTCTACACTGTGCAAAGTCATACATGTTCTCTATTGTCTGAAAAACACACACGTAAGCCTGGTTACAGAATCTGGCCCAATGTAATGTGCCCATTTAATACAGAAATCTTTTCCTTTCTTCTGCATTCGACCTGAAAATAAAACACAGTTGGCACACTGTTGTGGTTTACAGCTAGGCTGTGCTACCTGTGCATTAGCCCAAGACATTTTGTTTCAGCACATCCTTAACTCAGTGGGTACCAAGGAGCGCATCAGGCGTCAATGTTTAACTAATTTAAGTGTCACATGATAAATAAAGAGTTAATTAGATGCCATTTAGGAGTTGCTTGTTAAGAAGCAGTGAGTTTATTCCAATTCCCACCCCACAGGATAAAATGCAGTTATGACATCACCATCAATTGCCTTTGCCAGCTGGCGTAGGTATTCATGCACCTCCACAGATCTCGGTCTCAGATCAACTGTCTTAAGCCATCAACCATCGTTTCTCTTGGTCTACCTCTGGCTCTTCTACCAGTGGTCTTTCCAGTCAAATTTTCCAGTGCTCCTTTTCTCATCACATGACCAAAGAACTTTGTTTGGCTTCTTCTCATTGTTGTATATAATGTTCTGCTTTCATTAGTCATTTCCAGGCAATCATTGTCAGGTATTCTGGCAGTCCAAGGTCTTCACAAAATTCTTCTTCAGAACTACATCTTAGTTGCCTCCAAACTCTTCTTAATTTGTTTGCTCACATTCTAAGATTCACTATCATACAACAGGCTCGATGTAACATTTCAGTATTTGTTTTCTGATGTTTAAGGAGATACTTTTCATCTTGTGAAATGCTGCCTTTGCCTGGCTGATTTTGTTCTTAATTTCTGTCTGAGATATGACTATTCATTTAAATAAATAGAAGCACATTTTGCAAAAAAATCCAACTGTATCTTTCCTTTTGGAACATACTAATGTAAATCATTAAAATTTCACAATCATGAAAGAAAAAAAATCAAAACTTGTCAACTTTAGTTATTAAAGAAAAATTCTTAAAATGTTAATCTGTTCCTTGTTCATTACAAGATTATCCTCGTTACATGTTAGGTACACCCACAACTGCTCTGATCTGTTCCTTGTTCATTACAAGATTATCCTCGTTACATGTTAGGTACACCCACAACTGCTCTGATCTGTTCCTTGTTCATTACAAGATTATCCTCGTTACATGTTAGGTACACCCACAACTGCTCTGATCTGTTCCTTGTTCATTACAAGATTATCCTCGTTACATGTTAGGTACACCCACAACTGCTCTGATCTGTTCCTTGTTCATTAAAAGATTATACTTGTTACATGTTAGGTACACCCACAACTGCTCTAATCTGTTCCTTGTTCATTACAAGATTATCCTCGTTACATGTTAGGTACACCCACAACTGCTCTGATCTGTTCCTTGTTCATTACAAGATTATCCTTGTTACATGTTAGGTACACCCACAACTGCTCTGATCTGTTCCTTGTTCATTACAAGAATATCCTCGTTACATGTTAGGTACACCCACAACTGCTCTGATCTGTTCCTTGTTCATTACAAGAATATCCTCGTTACATGTTAGGTACACCCACAACTGCTCTGATCTGTTCCTTGTTCATTACAAGATTATTCTTGTTACATGTTAGGTACACCCACAACTGCTCTGATCTGTTCCTTGTTCATTACAAGTATATCCTCGTTACATGTTAGGTACACCCACAACTGATCTGATCTGTTCCTTGTTCATTACAAGATTATCCTCGTTACATGTTAGGTACACCCACAACTGCTCTGATCTGTTCCTTGTTCATTAAAAGATTATCCTTGTTGCATGTTAGGTACACCCACAACTGCTCTGATCTGTTCCTAAGCATGATTCTTAGTGGGTTTACACAGAATGCTCAGCAGGCGTAGGAGTCAAAGGAGCTAACGGCGCCTTCTCCATTACAACCAGCAGCATGATGATGGGTGCTATGGCAGTAACGTAAGCATTCACGTGGCTCAAAACACAAAACTACACCTGTGCATTTGTACTCAGTGATTTCATGAATACAATCCAGAGGGCTCAGGCAGGTTCAGTGTGAAGGCAATGGCTTGAATCATTACAGAAGTCCACTGTGCATGCAGTCATTTTAATTTTGTACCGGGATATGCGGATGTGGATGGAAATGAAAGAGCTGATAAGCTGGCTGGATCCGCTATCACTGCTGCTGGTCAACCTATGGATCATGCTGATATCATTTATGCCCTCCGAAAAATAGGAAGGGTGGAGGACTTTGAGAGCAGTGAATCCATATCACCCGCCAGAATGACAGACTTGGGAGTTAGGATCGGCACAGCAAAAAACGAGATGCACACCAGAGGACTTGTTAATCAACACAGAACTGGTACTATTAGCCACTGGACGCTGGAGTTCATACTCAGGGAAGGATCTGACCACCTATGGACATGTCCGGAGTACAATGATGATAACCCAACTAACTAACTAACTAACTAACCAACTCCTGTTCTGTACTGGTTGATGTGGCAACCGAGAGCTCTTGCAGGGTTATTGCATCCAGCTGCTTCAACTGGTATATCTAGACCGCACCAGAGTCGGACAGAAATCATAATCCTCATTTTTTTAAATATCTGTTTTACGTGTTGTCTCTCATAAAGCAGTAATTATGTTCAATATGTCCATAAAAGGTCCACTTTCTAGGGTGGCACTGCCTGCAAGGTCATGCACCCTCTCAATGCCTTTTATACCAGCATGTCCTGGGACAAAGTTTAAGCGAAAATACTGATCTTCAATTATTTAAATGTCTACAGTTTTTGGACAAATGAAAATATGATGGCAGGCATGGAACAAAAGAGAAAACTTTCACTCAAAACCCACTCCAGTTAAAAAATTCATACACAAAAATGCACTTCACATAAAAAAAAACTGATACTCAAAATACATTAGGGACCCGTATTAGCGCAGTCGATAGGAGACTCGCTTTAAAATCCAGTTGCGACTTGCTGCAGCCCACGGCCAGTGTTCGAAACCAGGCGGTTCCCAGGGTTCACCCAGCCTCTAAGAAATTGGTACCATAGTTAACACACTGGGGTAAATGGAGGAATGTCACTGTAGCTACGGAGTTTTGTGCGGAAGGCGACACAGGCGGACAGTTTCTTATCAGCTGTCTGTACTGGTGGCAGAGCACTTATGGTTTATAACAGTGTGCAATAACGCTGGTTCACATCTCCCGACTTTACCTTTTTTTTTTTCTTTTTTTTTTTAAACATTCTACTCAAAAACACCTAACATACTCAAAACACACTTGACCTTCCCAAGTGGGCTCCGGGCACCATCTTGGCGGGGAAAAGGAACAGACCCACTGCTCTCTAACAAGCATTTAGAAAAAGGCGACTAATTAGGGGTGTTTCGACAAAGTCAGAGTGCATCTGGCTGTGAGGGAAGGAACTAATGGTCTGCATCTAAATAAGTTAGATCTGTAAAACAGATGCAAAACTCAAGTTCTAGAACAAGACCAAAGTCCAGAAGTGGACAAACAACCAGAATTTTCTGCTGGAGTTTACAGCCATTGAACACTAAGAAGGAGACACTTGTCTTTAAAAAAAAACACCCTGAGGTACTCACCTGTTCATATCTCATACAATTGTCAAATGCCACAGCTCCCATGCTCACTTGTCTGTTTCCCAAAACGGAATTAAAATACTTGTTAATTCCCCAGAAAAAAGCCTGAAATTAAAAAAAAAATTAAAAACATTTGCTATATTCTGTTCTCAAACAAATATGTCAGAGACAAAATAAACTAATTTGCAGGACATCAGGAGTCTCTCTTAGCAGTGGTGAAATATCGCTCACTAGCTTGGTTTGGGCACGTGGTGTGACATGGTTTGATTGCAAAGACTGTGTTTAAAGGAACATTGGGGGGTAGTTGAAGAAGAGGAAGGCAAAAAAGAACCTGAAATGACAACATCAAGAAGTGGACAGGACTAAGTTATCACGCACTTAATCATCAAGCAGAAGACAGAAGGCGGGTTTTGTGTCCTAGTACTTCCATCAATACACCTGCATAACCCTAATGAGTCCAGGGTTATGTTATTCTGTGGCTAGCTAAAGAAACAAACAATTTCAACAAAATTAAACAACAAAAGACTCAAAGCAATGATTTACCACTGTAAATTTAAACAAAGAATAAATCAACATATTATATTTGAGCATGGCAGATATTTCTTCTTCCGGCAGCCTTCACAAAGGCCGGTCAGCATATTTTGCAGTTTACAGCTTGGCTGCAATATCTACGCTGTTTGGTCTTTAATTTTCGATACAAGATGCCTCAAAGATACAATATTGACAGCTGTTGCCCTAAACCAAATACTTGTGGATTACTACACACAGAAGCATTGATGAGCATATTTTGACACCGCAGATATCATAAACGCTATCCAGAATGGACTAGTGGATAATGATGAATCTCTGACACTAACACGATTGTTTTGCATGGGAGTAAAGCATGGTGAAGCACGCCTATGCCATCTTAGAGGCAGAGACAGGAGACATTATAACCAACCTCCCATGAAAACAATTAGTATAAGTACCTCAAAGTGGCTGCTGCATCGGAGAACTGAGCACACATGGGGATGCCCAGTGTGCAGTGACGTCAATTGTGATAAGATAACATAACATAACATCTGTGTGGATTTTCGTATGTCCTCAATTAGTAGCCTTTTAAAACAATCTCATCATGAAGCTCTGGGTCTATTATTTTTCCCACTAAAATAACAGAGCCTTGGAACCCACATCAGTACAGTGTGCTTTGTTCTAAACATACTAGCATCACCTTTCCTCTGGAGTAAAAAAAAGCCAGCCATGGAAGGGATTATGATGCACAGGCAACACAGTCTCAACAATACTGTCCATACTGTGCCATAGAAAGAATGAACTTCATTCCCATGCCTCTCAATAGCACAATATAACACTAGTGTCTGGAAGAACTTCATTCCCATGCCTCTCAATAGCACAATATAACACTAGTGTCTGGAAGAAGTTTTTTTGCGTTTAATTCCTAAGTCTTCTCATCCCCATATTCTATGATCGACAGGGGGATTACGTGGTCTAATAGTATGGTGTCCACCTTGAATGCTTGAGATCTCGGGTTCAAGCCCCAGTGAGGGCTTGGATTTTTTCTGTTCATGTGGACTTCTAGTAATTTTCCCTGATCTCTGGGTAATGAGATCGGATGCCTGTGTGTACTGTTGCACACGTAAAAAAATCCCCTGACAGTTGGAAATCAAAAAGAGTAGCCTAACGGCTGAGCCCCGGCAAAATTTTGAGATACAAATCTACCCAAAATATTTCAGGATCTTCGCCGGTGCTACGGAGCCAGTGCACTGTGATGGGCTACTTCAGACTCAGACTTGAGTTACAAGTGGAAGGAGCAGAAGGTTACTACATGTGTGCCATGATGGTGATACGTTGTTCAAACCTTAAACCTCTTATGAATGCCCTTGGCACCCAGGTCAATCTAGCAGTCAAATCTGCTACCGGGACAATAAGTTATAATTAAGGTCAGGGGGGGGGGGGGGGCGATGACCTAATTGCACCAAGTTTTATCCCATAGGGCTCAACTTTTCTCCAAAGAACAGCCAACCAAACTCTAGCAATTGTGCCCAGGGATCCCCAAACAAACTGCACTCGAGAACTAACGACGCACCAGCCAAATGAACTCATGACCTTCACAATATGAGACATTTAATGGCTTGACCACTTCATCAAAGAGAACCCCCTCAAAACAAACACAGCTGATGTGAAGCTGACATCATAATCAATCAAATCCCTAAAGTCTGGACACAGGAAATAAAGAGTGAATGGGCGAAATTTGACCGCAATTTGGAATTATCACATTGAAATCATGGGAATTCTGCTAAGCGCATCAACCTTTGTTTACACTGCAAATGATGGACATCACAGTGAAGACCTTATGTAATATTCCAATTTAATAAAATGGTAATAAATTGTATTCCTTGAAAATATGCATTTCTGCCTATGTGTCCAGACTTTATGGACAAATAGGTTTAAAAACACATGCCTGATGCACCAAAGTTCCCAATGGTTATTTACTTTTACTGCTACTAACTTCATACATTCAACATTCCCTTTTATTCCGCCCCCTCTACATGACTGCTTTTTGAAAGATTAACACCTGATGACCAAAGAGTCACTATTCAGATGACAAGAAAAAAACAAGATAAAAACAAATCCTGGAAACATCATTCAACCGTATAACAGTTATATTAGGGCACTATTAAGTTTGCCCACTTGGAAAGATTACCACCTGATGACCAAAGAGTCACTATTCAGATGACAAGATAAAAACAAGACAAAATCCTGGAAACACCATTCAACCGTATAACAGTTATATTAGGGCACTATTAAGTTTGCCCACTCGGAAAGAATTCCTGGTGATGGCATACCACACAAAGTATACACTCAAAGAAAAGGAAGTAGAACACAAGACAGACCAAGAACAAGATAGAAAAAACGTCAGAGAAACTCTACACAGCATGATGTGTCTTTGGTCACGGTGGCCTGAAGAGCTACAAGCAGAAAATTGCATCTCCCCTCAACACTCAAAGTGGTACAAGAGGAAGTGAAGAAGAAAAAGATATCTTCTTCTTCTTCTTTGCGTTCACCAGCTGTAAACTCTGGTGGAAAGTTCTAGTTGTTCGTTCACTTCTGGACTGCAGTCCTGTTCCAAAACTTGAGTGTTGCATGTGCATCCATTTGACAGATCTGACACATGTGTGTGCAGACGGTTGGTTCCTTGCCCCTCAGGCAGATGTACGACTTCGTAGGAAGCTCCCAATAAGTCGACTCTTGCGACAAACTTTTGGGTAGGCAGTGGGTCTGTTCTTGTTTTCTCTATTATAGGGCTCCGGAACCCACACGGGGGAGAAAAAGATATAGGAGCACCTGTTACATTATGGTTTCTTCTAACTCGACATTCCATTACTTACCACCATGTTTAGAAATCCAACATCATTCACTGTTCTGTTACACTCGTATGCTGTGGCTCCACGTTCATTAACATCAAACATCCCTCCAACAACAAAATACTGGTTGGGATCCTGTTGGTTCGCTGGCCGGGTTGCTGCCATAGTGAAAGGAGGCAATGTAGGACATGTTGTCTGTTGTCCGTTCACAGCGAAGGGCATGGCCCCTAAGAGCATGCAGGCTACGAAAATGAGCCCCATCTGTTGAAACAAATATCTGATACTGTTAAAAATCAAAGGCACAATCTTCAAAACCCACCCACATTGGACAACAGCTTACTTAGTAACAGTTTTGTGGTGCCCCAATTTAAGTTGTTTTTTCTTGTTTCTCTTTTTGACTTCACTATGGTTGGTTGACTATTGTGGCTATTGTTTTTACAGGATGAGGTAGCCAATCTTTTTACAGGATGAGGTAGCCAATCTTTTTACAGGATGAGGTAGCCAATCTTTTTACAGGATGAGGTAGCCAATCTCATGCCTAACCCTAGCCTAAGTCACCTCTTAAGAAATGCCTGGTAGGGTACCGTGTTACTATTCTTTGCTTCCCATGAGAGCCCCAGTGACACATGTAATGTAGATAAAGATAGGGGAAGTGACATAATTATTAAAATACAAATACAAAAGGCAAGTGGAGCTTTCACAGAACTAGGGCATTTGTGGAGGTCAATGGAAATTAAAACTAATACTAAACTAAACTTAAAATGTGTAATTCTAAGGTCAAATCAGTACTATTGTAAGGGGTGCAATAGAGGGAATTAAATTGATAGAATCACGAATTGAGAGCTTTGGGAGAGAACAAGTTCCAGTGGACCGAGAGGGGAAGAAAAGATGCTGGCATTGGATAGGACACATAGTGATAAACCATGAGAACAGTACAACTAGAATATTTTTGCACTGGAACCCACAGGGGCATACAAATAAAAGAAGACCAAAACACACAAGAAGAAGGGAGCTAGAGAATGACGTTAACAAGATGTGGAGGACAGGAGGGAGACCTGCATGCGATAGCAAAGAACTGAACAACTTGACATGAGTTTGTTGGGGGTTTGTTTGTTTTAGTATCCAGAAGCCATGAGTTGTTAACTTTTAGGCTCGGTATTATGGATATCGCAACCTTTCGGCCTTGATGCCATTGTAAATACCGTAAATCTGGGTGAAATGTGGCTTTTCTGCCTACCCCAGGAAGTGAACCCGGACCACAAGGAGTTCGTCACCCGGTCACCGAGCAATCTGGTTTAGCCAACTACTCAAGAGAGCCGGGATTAGAAAGGTAAGAGAAGAAGAATATAACTGTGCGACGTGGGTAAACAGGATTTCAAGGATTTGTGCCCTTCGACTTTCAACCTTGAGATGTTTAATCCAACTGTAATCCTGTAATGCAAAAAAAAAAACTTTTTTTTTTTAAATTTATTAAAAGCAAGCAAGTTATGGTGGGTTACTGGAATTGCTAAGTGCCAGACAGGGAGGGTCTATAATGGAAATTAAAAAAACTGATTTTTGACTATAATTGTTGAACTTGAAGCCAACACTGGTGAATGGTCATAACTGACAAGTTTCTTAAAAAACTGTTTTTTTCTAATGACCAGACAATCATACCACCAACAGAAAAACAACTACAAGAACATATTAACGGTCTCCACTCAGTATGGTATAGCTGTGATATGAAGATCAACACAGACAAAAGAAAAGATGAAATTCATTAGAAACGGAAAAACTACAAACAGCAAAATTAATAAACATCAGTTGAAGCCGGCAAAGAACTTTACAGACCTAGGGAACCTTTTTCAGAAAACTAAAGAGTAAAAAAAAAAAATACAACAATGAAGTCAATCAAGTTATAGGACAAATGACACCATTACTGAAATGCAAGCATGTGAATATGAACACTAAAAGAGCACTGCTCAAAACAATATCCTTACCAACGCTTTGCTATCAGTTTCAAACATGGATACTATAATCAGAAGACAGGAGGAAAATAGGACAGAAATGAAATATTTACGTACTTTGCGAGGTGTGACAAGAAAAGATCGACTTAGTAACAATGATATTAAGAGGAGAGTGGGCTCAGAACCTACTGAACTTTATCAGTAGACAACAGATCAAATGGTTTGGCCATGTCACAATATTGGCATCAGACAGGGCACCACAGGAAGACATTTTATACAGTTACAACATTAACAGAACTATATATAGGTCAACTACACAGAAGATGGACAGCGAAAATATAGGAGATACTGAAAAGTACAACAAGGAAAGCGAACAAAAGGGTCTGTTCCAGAGATCATTCCTTCCCCGATTCTAAGAGGCATTCCGGGAATAGAAAAAAAAAACTGAAAATGTGACAACTGAAAATAATTATGGAAAGAGAGGTAGAGAAAGGCAACTGGGAATAGTTTTTTGACGGTCTTATAGTATGTCATGAAGAGGTATCAGTACAATAACTGATATATGCTGTTAAAGATCGCAAGTTGTGCAGAAGTAAAAACGCCAACACTATTTAACAAGACTTTAGATAATATACATATATTTATATCCCCATGGAATGTTCTAAACACGCCCTAGTTTAAGGCGGCTGTTGATAATGTGTTGCAGGCAATGCCAGTGAAGGTTTCAGTCAGGGCCAAAAAAGGAACAGACCCACTTGCCCAAATATCGTGTCATAAAAGCAGCTCACCATAGGGTTTTGCTGAAAGCGGAGGTGTCTGGTGTAAATTATATGGCACAAATATTTCAGTCTAGCTGTAAACCACAACGTGCCAACGGCCCTTTTAGTGCTAAACGCAGAAACTGCAAATTGAGATAATGCCTAAATATTTATTCTAAAATGATTTAAAAGGGAAAAATACTTTCGATTATACTCATAAAAATGCTGAACATATGTATTACTAAACATCAAAAACATAATATTATTTCAAATATCTGTCACTAATAACGTTAAACATTTTACTACTAATAATAATTAATAATTATCACATCAAAGACGTACAAATCAGGAAGCCTTCGGTACATGCCATAACACAATCGTCATTTCGTGAATACGGTAAAACATATCTACCAAACTCGTCCTTTTAGTAACTGAACAGAATGTTACTCACCTTGTTCTCACACGAAACAGTGCTCTGTCGAAAGTAAGACTCCACTTTTAGACCCTCCTTCTTGTCTTCCTTGTCTCTCCAGACGACAACGAAGGACACGATCGGGAGAGAGAAGCGACTTCAAGACATCACAAAACTAAACACTGGAGTACTTGCCCAGCCCAGTCGTAGAGCAAAGAATTCTAAAAATACCAGGCCTGTTTGGCGATATTCACGAAATATCTCCACTGGGGGAGAATAAAAGAAGAAATATGCCGCCTGGAGCAGGGTAGCCATCCCGTCAAACTGGTTTGACGACTGCGCTATTTTAAGTTGTTCGCGCCTGCAACTTGTCCTCGGTAAACTTCGGTAAAGTTCGTTACCTCTATCTCCCGGTGTGTGTTCCTTCATTCTCCGCTTCTTCTTCTTTTCTTCTTATTCTTATTCTTTTACTACTATTAAAAAGGTGGTTGATACATTATTTTGTGGTTTACAGCTAGGCTGTAGCATGACTGATGTCGAACGCAGAAGAAGAAGAAGAAACAGCTAGGCTGTGAAATCTGCACTTCTCGGCTCCACACATCTGATTTAAGCAATTATGTAGGTAGGTATTTATTTGCACCCCACCAAGACATCACACAAGCGACGAACCCCCGGTGACATAAAAAGCCACCATGCGGATGAGGATTTTTTGTTTGTGCCCGCATTATTAAAAGTCCATGATTGTTAAGGGGCAATCGGTCTACGCTCGGCCCCCCCCCCCCTCCCCCCAACAACCGACAACTCAATGTGGTCCCGGAAACAACAGAGGTGGGGTAGCACCGGTATTAGCAAAAATATCATAAAATGCGGCGCGTCCTTACCCGCATAGGACTTCAGCGACCGGGTCACTCACTGGCTGTAGACAGTGGCACTGGCACTGACAGTAGACTTCTTCTTCTCCTTCTTCTTCTTCTTCTTCTTCTTCTTCTTCTTCTTCTTCTTCTTCTTCTTCTTCTTCTTTTGTGATCATCTATAACAACAATTAATGTAAACTAGGTTTTTGATGATATTATTACTGCAAGAATATTGTAGAACTGTTGCTGGACTGCGTCAGGACTGTGTCTTTCTTATTGCTTTTATGTTGGTGTCAGTTCCAAGTCTAGGTCGTCGAATCGTACCAGGCGCATTAAGTTGAGTCGAATCAAGAATTAACATCACAACACTCGGGGTATTCCCATACGCGCTCCGTCCCCATCTTCAGCAGCCAGTGCAGAGTTCTAATACTGATGGTACCCGTCACAATCTGGCTATATGTCCGTCTTGCCTCTTCTCTAAGTGTAGTGAGCCGGCCAGACCCTCTGGTTACACCCAGATGCCTCATTCTCTCCAGGCCATTATTATCTCCTTATTCCACTGATTCCGTTGCTTGTTCCCAAAGAGCCTTGACCACATCTGCTTTATTATGTATCAATTCCCACCCAGTGGTGCGTATCCAGCCAATCTGTCTGTTTATTACCCACTACGCCGGCATCGCCTGGAGAAAAGATCAAAAGTTTGCTTACTACCCGTGACTTTTCCAGTGAAGCTTGCCACTCTGCTCGAAGCTTCTCTGCCTTTTCTCTGTATACTTTCAATTACGACATGTGTATGCATCTTGTTCTCTAGCCATCGGAGAGCTGCAGTTACCGCCTCAACATCCATTCTCGTGCTAAATGTTGTGATGTAGTTTGCTAGGATGTCTTGCACTAAATATTTTTCATTGGCTTTGGCTACGAACCTCTAGGCATTCATCTCTCCTCTCACCACCCAACTATCTGTATAGATAATCAGATCACCTGGGCGTGAATTGTCATGAATCAACTGTTGGACTTTCACCTCCGTAGCACCCGCTGGCTACTCTCTGCACTCCCGGCCCAAATGTGATGCACCGGGCGCATTATAATGGTCAACGAGTCAACAATGTGATGCACCGGGCGCATTATAATGGTCAACGAAGTAACAATGTATGTCGGCTTAGATTTGCATTGTTATGAGTTATGATTTGGGTTATCTTCACGGCACTCCGGACACGTCCATAGGTGCTCAGATTCCCACTTCAACACATACATCAGCCTCCCACGGTTGATAGTCCCAGTCCTATATTGG